TCACAAACGCGTTGACCGCGTCGTACTGGATCAACTCCAAGTCAAAGCGTGCGGCGATGGCCATCAACGTTCTGAAGGATCGTCCAGCAAGTGTTGCCGCATAGGTCTCTTCGTGAATTGACCTAGCTTGTTGGTCGCCTCTCACTACCGGACGCGCCTTGCACTTCTGGAAGCGACCGTGTTTGTCAAACTTGTACACGTAGACCCAAATGCAGTCGAGAATTTGATTTCCCTTTGTTTGAGGGTCGTCTCGAGGAATTTCAGTCCATGATTCCATCTCTTCATGGCTCCTAAGATGCGCTGTTTCTGCTTCCTCAAATAGAGTTCCCATTGGATGATTGATCAAGTCTGAATGACTTCGTGGTAAGGGTGGCATATCTCTTCTATACAGAACCCTTGGGTTTCTGAGTAGTCGTTGAAACTTTGCTTTGTCAATCACTTTTTCATCATAGATCCCAAGTGGCGTGGCCAGGCGCCCAGCAACAAAGGCAGCCTTCCACACTTCAATAGGTCCATGGTGTTGAAGCAAAAACGGGTTGATTGTGTTGTTGTTGGTCCTAAGTTACATATGTCTGAGAAGAGCACAGCTCCTTACATAGTATCCACATCCCAGCCACCAGCAAATCGGACCACCTTCGCCGCACTGTCTCAACATCTAGAAGACCAGCAGACTGAGCATACGCATAAGAGACCGGCTCTCGTCGCTCCTGTGGATAGAACACCAGGCGCTCATTTAATCTTGAGCTGCCCATCCGTGCATGTCATACCTGCATTCTGCTGGTTCGGTGCGGCCTCGTGGCTATGACAGGATCTTGCCGCAATGTACTGCGGGGCGAAGTGAATATGCCGCTAACCCAATTTAGCACGTTTGCAGTGATTTCAGGGGTTTTGTAACCGTCACCTCTATCTCTTTGAGCGGCACAAGGCAACGGAGGGGTCACGACTGGGGTCGGGGGCCAATCAAAATGATCGCGACGATCGGTACATTCCACCTACACCTAAATTGGCGTGTGATAGAGGTACCAACAGTCAGCATTGTTACAAATTGCTACATCACATACTTTGCAACCATACCTAGTCTTCCGGCACCCCTGATTTCCTGATATCGGCTCGAGATATCCTCCTTTTGCCTTCCTTTTTTTAAAGGGTCGAGGCTGCCCTTGCCGGCAGCCCTTACAGGCTAGGCAGGCTGAAATTGACCCTCTGTAGACATGATTGATATCTCTTTGTAGGTGATTTTGCCGTGCCTCTATATCCTCGATGTCTTCCTCCTTCCCTGACCGGCTTCTCTTCCTTGTGCCGCCTTCATCAGCGTAGGTGTTAAAAAGGGCGTTGCAAATGCATTCCTTCCAAGCTCGTAGCGTGCTATAGGGCTTCCAACGAGGGTGCCGGGTCTTCTTCTGTAAAATGAAGCTATTCGCAAGTGCGACTTCGAGGAGGAAATTCCAAAGCAGCGCTTGCCAAGGACCGCGCCGGAATCGGTGCTCGTACGTTATATAGGACCTTATCTGATCACCGCGGTCAACGTGATTCATTTCATCGTTATACTAAGCGGCAACAGTAGGAATAGGGATTATCTTGAAGCTATCCCCGTTGAAAATTCGCTGCAGCTGTTGTGCCTCTATCTTCGTGCCTCTCTTAGCCGGCAGCTTCCTCTTTTTTGGTGTGCGCTCGTGAGGGGCGCCGCTGTGCACAGTTGAAATGAAGAGCACCACGCCGCTATCCTTCCAAGCGATTTGGATGACCTAGGGTGAATAAAAAGAGACAAATTAGTAAGGGAAATACAGCTAAAAGTCATCTATACCTTTTTATCCGGCATCAGGATCAGTATAACCTCGTTATACCTTAAAGGCGTGCCGTCAGGAGCTTTGCCGGTCTCTTTTATCCTCTTTATCTCGGTGCTAATGCCGCAGTTAGGGCGTGCCGTGCCTGTGGCACCAAAGCCAAGCTGCCGAAGGAGGCGGAAGAGCTGCGGTGACGAGAAGAGGTTATCTGTGAAGACGTGATATGTCTGAGGAAGCAGCTTTTTTACTAGGTAAACCACGACGCTCTATGTATTGCTGAGAGGGATCTCGGTCCGTAGCTTTCCCTTCTTACCAACCGGCTTCGGCGTAGGTAAGTTGACGATAACAGCGGTATATGGTGATGACTTCACGTGCCAAAGCCACCGCAGAAAGAAGCCCTGCTGGGCGATAACCCAGACTTTGAAGCCTACCGGCGTGGGATTTCCCTTGACAAGCGTTATCTCTTTTGATCTGCCTGTAAACGGCACCATACACTCATCTACAGTCAGATTAGTCCCTAGAAGATAGAGCTCGTTTGACACCTTCTGTATGAGATCAGACCACTCTTCAGCCACTTGGAAGGTCTTTGGAAGATCACCCTCATCCCTTATATCGACTTTGGTGTAGTCAAAAGTACGGAAATACCTGTTGATCAGCTCGAACTTCCGTAGCGGCATGAACTTGATGATTGAGTGAAGAGGGCGCTGATCTCCTAGGCTAGGTGCTTTCCAATGGTCCTTTATCGTTATTTCCCTATGAATCCCTAGGTAAATAACGACTCTAAGCTATATATAAGCCGTTGAAGTGGAGATGCCTTCCCATTTGAGGATACGTGAGTGTTCAGAAAGGGGGGTATTCCAGTTGTTAATAACGGCATTTTTAAGCAGGTAAGCGACCCAGCTATTAGTATATTTAACCCATGACTGTATAAGGGAAATAGGTATAAAAAGCTGGAATAATTCAAGCGGTTCCTTGGGCAGAGGGTTGATCTTGAAATCACGATATTCTAGGTTGAAAGGTTGAAAATCATCACCGCGGCCCTCTTCGGGCGGAAAATTAGGCACGCCGGTAAGGTCATTAGCTGCCCTCAAAGGCAGGGTATCAAAGCTGTGATCATCTATGCTATCTTGTATCTTAGAAGAGCTCATCGTTTCAATTACAACAGGCTAGGGATTGTTTGTGTGAGGATTTTGATGAATTTGGTGGTGAAAAATCATACAGCTGTCTGACGAGAACTTCACGTACCCCGCAGGTACTAGCGGAGTTAGTAAGCAAAGTGGGGCTAGTGACATGAGTGTTGCCTTGTGCCGCTCAAAAAGATAGCCTGCCATACCTCATACTAACTGTGTGTGGATTAGAACTTGCATGGTGGCGCGGCGCTAGGATCCACAGGCGCTACCGAATTCCGTGGGTGCTTACGTTAGTTCTCACGGATCCATTCTCACAGCTTCCTAGCGAGATTAGATTTTCCATTCTGTCACAGCTAAGTTTAAAAGATATCGCCAATCTTAGGCTCACTTCGCGCGTATTTCTGCAACTACCCAAGTCGCTATTCTATTATTTGACCTTACGCAACACGCCATGGCTGTACGAAGCATGGTCATCATTGCCTATTTCCTTCTGGGCCACCACATCAAAGTCCGAGCTTGAGAAACAACCACAATTCTTTGGTATTTCTCGGCCTACAACTTCGGTCACCTTGTTAAGTCGTACTGAGACCTATTGGTTTCATCTACAGTCTGAGGCCAGTCGAAATTGGGAACACTTGCTTGGACTACAGAACCGACGCAGGATTTGGGATGATTGCCAAGAAATCCTCCCGGCCTTTTATGCCGCCTTTCAAGCCACTATGACGGAGAGCAATATCAAAGGGGGTTTTAGAGGAGCCGGGCTTGTCCCTCTTAACCCAGAAAATGTGATCTCAAAACTTGATGTAAAGCTACGGACTCCAACATCTATTGAGGAGGAGGCTAGCGCATCCACCTCTTGGGTTCCAAAGACCCCAAATACAGTCCGTGAGGTAAAATCTCAATCTGAATACCTCGAAAGGCGAATCAGAGGACATAAAAGTAGCTCCCCAGAGTCAATTATAGAGGCTTCAAAGTCTCTTGCAAAGGCAGCAACCAGAATATATCACAAGGTTACCTTATTATCTGCAGAGAACCGAGAACTTCGACAGGCAAATGAGGCACTAAGCCGACGCCGCAGGGCAAAAAGAACCCGATTACAGAAAGGAGGGGTACTAACAGTAGGGGGAGGTCAGGAACTAATTGATCAGATAGATGTTAATACGCAGGTAGTGGCCGAATCGTCGAGAAGTGGTGGTCAGGGAAGTTCGGCGCGACCGAGGGAAAGGCATTGTGGAATATGCGGCAAGACTGGGCATAATGCAAGAACCTGTCAGGTAGTAACTGAGATATCTAGGGAAGAGAATAATGAGTAGGTTTAATTGATTAGATAGTTTATTATGTTTTTATGATAGTTTATCTTTTGAAGGGTAAGATTTCTGGCCCACTCGCTTGTCTGGCCCACTCGCTTATCATACACGTTACTCCTAAATGTTCCAGGTTAAACCTTAATTGGGCACATTAATAAATAATAGAGTTACAGATAAATATATCCGTCACGGTTAGTTGTTATACCGTTAAGAAACCTTATGCAAGGGCAAACTAAGGGATTAAAGCTGATGCCTACAGTAAAGTCAGACAAGTTTAATATCTACTACGATTGAGGTTCTGCTGTTGCGCCGCGTCATCTTAGCCAGGGTAGTCTGGGCTTAAATTAGTGTACAAATCAGTTTACCAGTCTAAACTATCCCCCCCCCCTTAATTAAACGCTATTCAGTGGGCTCCAGGCTGATTCAATGGATCAAGTCCTGGTCAGAATGTTTCTAACTGGTGAATGCCCTAGGCTGTAGTTCTTCGCACGTAGCCGAAACAACTTGCCGTTAATGTCTGTGCGGCTTCTTGAAATTTCTACTAAGGAAGGGTCATCTGCCGAATTATTACTAAGGAGCACACACATAAAATACAAGGTGTTTCGGCCATGTACGAAGTAATTTACTATATCCCATGCAAGACCCCTGGTGAGTGACCCACTCGCTATTCTATACTACTTTAATTTAGAGGGAAGTATTTTCTTCTATAAACATAGGTAAAAATTGCCAGATCCTTTTTAAATCCTAAATTGAAGGTAGGAATTTGAGGTCCGATTACTCCGAATTAGTAGTCCTTAATAAACTATGTAAATTGAAGTTTATTTTTTATGTCTTGCTTGAAACACCTACTATATAACCCCCTCTGCACCTTCATTCTTTGCACTCAGCAGTAAGACCTGATCTCTTCACCGTTATCTACCTCTATCTTTTTTCCATTTCAGTCACTCTTTTGAACTTTCTTATCACCATGAAGTCACTCGTTTCAATTCTAGTAGTAGTAACTACCACCTTGGCGGGCACCCTTCCCAAACCCGCTGCGCTCATTAAACCCGGCTTCATCCCAACGTTCATTGAAACATTCGACTACTATCCAGGAACACTTCCCTCGACCTCAAACTGGATCTTCGACCTTGGAACATCCTATCCCGGCGGAGCAGAGCGATGGGGAAACAACGAGTTCCAAACCTACACAGACTCTACTTCTAACATACACGTAACGAAACAACAAAATTTGGCAATTATACCGCAACTCAAAAAAGGTCAATGGACGTCGGCAAGAATCGAGACTCAGCGAAGCGATTTCGTTGCTGCTGAAGGAGGGAAATTGCTTGTTGAGTCGCGCATTAAACTTGGTACAGCGCCGACGGCGCAACAGCAAGGTATCTGGCCAGCCTTTTGGGCTTTGGGCAGCGAGTTCAGAGGGAATTACACAAATTGGCCGATGGCTACAGAATGGGATTTTCTCGAGGTGATCAGTGGTGGATCAGTAATGTACTCCACCATTCACTGCGGGTTTGCTCCTGGAGGACCATGCAACGAGTACAACGGGTTGGGAAGTGGAGGCGTGGATTTTTCAAGGGGCGTGTTCCACACTGTTGGTTTCCTAGTTGATAGGAGTATGTGTGGGAAAGGAAAAAACGGGACTTGGCTGGACGAGACGCTGAATTGGTATTTGGATGGAAAGAAAATCTTCACGGTCACGGGTGCGACAGTTGAGGATGAGCCGACATGGGTGAAATTGGCGCATGAGCGGCATTTTCTGCTCCTTAACTTGGCGGTAGGTGGGAATTGGCCGGGTCCACCAAACAATCTTACGATTGATGGGCCCTCTGTTGGGATGGAGGTGGATTATGTGGGGGTTTGGAATACATTGTAGGATTCTGTAGAAGTTCTGTCTAGCATTTTACTTAGCTATTGGGGAGTTTATTGCCTACAGCGCTGCCCATACTAACAACTACACAGGTCTCACGGTCTAGGGGGAAGGATATAGGTGTAAGTCTTCTTAGTATATATAATAAGACACTTGCTTTATTTTCATAATATTTTAACTCTAACTCTTATTTGATTTATATTCTGGTGAGATACATAGTAGGTCAGTTAACTTTCTTTTTTTACTTTTAATGTAAAATTTTAAAAACCTTGTCCTACAGACCAAAATCAATTCTACGTAGAATTCATTTGTTTCATGTCAAACAACGCGGGGTAGAATTTAATTTCTAGACCCACCCAACAGGGAGTAGGCTTGAATTACGCAGGGGGTAGACCAGGGTCAATTAAATTAATGACAAGACGCGTGTTTGGTGAGAAGACACGAATACGCGTCATGTACTCCGTACATGAAATAGTTAAAACCGCCTTAACTGGTTTATAGAGATCCTTCCTCTTGACCAAGACCGAGATATAAGGAGCATATACCATCCACAACCCCTCTTTCGGCATAACCCCTCTTTCGGCAAGCAAAATAAAAAAAGCTTCACCAAAACTCACCAACTTCACTTACACAGAACTTGACCAAATTGACAGAAATGCGTAAAAACATTCATTTAATGAGTCATAAGTAGATTTATCTATTGTACCCTGGGTCTTTTCACCAGCCGCCCCGACCGCCTGGTTGGTTGGTGGGGTATGTTTTCCTCTCTGACTTCGATGACAGAGCCAGCCTCCGATTCTGACTCTTGCTCGCTTGAAGAGACAAATTCCACCCCAACAGGCATATAACGAGTCGCCCCTTCTGGTATGGACTCTTTACCAGCCAGAGTCTCCCCGAGAGTCATAAAACGCCTGTTAGGATTCGGTACCGCCTTCCTCTTCTTCCCTCTCTTCAGCCGAGCCAATTCTTCCTCTAGGCTGGCAATCCTCTGCGTATGCGCCGCTACTGTCTGTTGTTGAGCCTCAAAGCCCTTGGCTATCACGTTGTACCGTCTCCGCGTCTTTGGTGTTTTGTTCAACCCAAGATCACGAATTTGACGGCTCGTCTGTGGAGTATCGTCCGAGCCAAGATATGGCCTAGGTTCAGGAGTCACTCTTGGGCCGCTGTTTGGCCTGTCCTGTTGGATTTCAAGGTGTCGCAACGCTTTGGAACGCGAAATCGGCCAGTTGCCAGTGACCCTCCAGCCTGACAGTATGTTCTTCTTAGTCATTCCAACTCGGCGAGCTTTGGCGTAGGCCCTGATGAAATTGACCTTGTCCATCGGAGCGGAATCAGTCAACGAAGCGAACCTTTCCAACTCTCGTCGATATGCAGCCTTCAACGCGTTGAATACTCCATTGTCCAGTGGCTGGAGTCCATGAGAGCAGTGTGCTGGTAGATAGCAGCAATAAACGTTGTTCAAAAAGCACGTAGCCATCCATTCATCCTTCCACCACTAAGCACTGATCGTGAGATGGGGGAAATGGAGGACATACTGTTGCATGGCTTCCGTGACCATCTAAGATGATCAGTCTCGCGTCTGACTCGTCGGCAGGTGTAGTCTGGGGCAGATAGACTCTTTCAAGCCATTCAATGCCTATGTGGTCATCAGTCCACCCGTTGGGCGAAGTTATGTAATACCAGTCTGCTATCTGCTTGAACTCGTCAAGGAACCATTGTTTCTGCAGTTCCTTCCCCTTGAAGATTATGCCAGGAACTAAAGCGCGGCCGTCAGCAGTGACGGCTTCGATAAATGAAGTCCAATTTCGGGTTTGTGGTCCCTTGAGAAACGCCTTGCGCTTCGGGTCCGCAATTCCAACAACCAGGCTATCTAGACCTGAACTCAGAGGATTAGACGGTCAAATTTTAAGCGTTAATAAGGGATAGAGGTATATGCTTGCCGAAACCAGTCATAATACCCCCTTCATCGACGTTGACGGTGTTTTCAGGCTTGATCCAACCATACTGGCCCTCCCGGATATCAAAGTACCAATGAACCGCTTTAGGCGTGAAAGAGTCGAACCTTTTAGCTTCTTGACGTCTACCCATCTTGGTCTTTAGGTCTGCGCGGCGATTGATAAATTTGATCACCCAGTTGCGCCCCAAGTCGGGATGTTCGCCCTGCTGTCTCAACAAGCCCATGACACAAGCGCGGATCTGACTGTGGGACGGAGCATAGCCCAAGGACTCCTGGCGGAGGATCCAGAAAGCCAGCCTATCTTCTTGGTTCTTGGACAAACGTCGGCGAGGCTGGATCTGGTCTTCAGCGGCCCCACGGCCGTTAAGTCTATCGATGAGGGTCGTTCGGGGCACTCCTCTTCTCTGGGCCGCTTGAGGGGGTGAAAGACCATGATCGGTAATATCCAATATGGCCTCAGCCATATCGTCCTCTGTATATTCCCATTGAAGTCGTGATTTAGGCATTTTTCTGCTGTTGTCGAGGGTAAAGATCAAAAATCACGAGAAAGAGCGGTGAGGAGGTTAGTGACCATTTTGAAAATATTTCAATAGCATGACTTGCATATATCGCGTGCCCAGCACATCCTCAACAGGTCAGAATAATTATCTCCACTCATTTCTATAATCAATAAAAGAAGCTTCTTTTAGGTAGCTATTTATTCTGGCCAACTTTCGTGTAAGTGAAGTTGACGAATTTTGGTGGTGCTCTTTTTTTTTTTGCTTGACGAAAGGGTGGGGCTGTCGAAAGGTGGGTTGTATATGGTATGGCCTGGCCGCCGACCAGGTGCTTCAAGCCACAGTTGTGACCACAGATGGCCGCGTCCTGGTGGCCAATGCTGCTCAGAACCAAGATCTTCTCTGGGCCATTCGCGGTGGCGGCCCTGGCCTGTACGGAGCTATTGTCAAGTACGTTTTACGAACCCACCCTTACCCCAAGAACGTGGTCTGGCCATCCATCTCCATGGACCTTGCAGAGAATGCGACAGTTGAGGCAGCTACGGCGTCTTGGAAAGCTATGGCAGTTCTCGTTAGAAATCTTCCGGGCTTGATGGGTCTTGGCATTACCGGGAACGGATTCGCTGCGACATTAACAATCTCAACCAGCAACAACCAATCATCCGTTCAAAAGGGCGTCGGACTCACAATCACGCTGTACGGCTACAACACCACAACCTCGACGCTGAAATCTCTGCTTGAGCCAACCAGCCACAGGATGATGACTTACGCTGCTGTTAAAGGCGTCAAGATCGTAATGGCAGAGCTAAATATGGCAGCGGATTATCTATCCTTCTTCGATGTGCTAAACCCGAACCCCAGCGCATGCAGCGATATCAGCTTAGTCTCTAGCCGTCTACTCGGCCATTCCCAGCTCACCGATCTATCTTTGGAGGACGTTCAGAGACATCTTTACACAATTATGAATTCTCAAGTCGAAGGAGAGCCCTCAAATATGATTATTGGTCTCCAAGGCGGACCGGGACCCAGGGATGTCTCGCAGGACATGCGCGGTGGTCTGAACCCAGCATGGCGACAGGCCTACCTCCACGTCTTAAGCACCGGGGCCAAGCTCAACGAAACCAACCCCAACATTCAGGACGACTCAGTGTGGCGGCCGAGTGGATTGTGGAGCACAAGGAAGCTCTGTGGTGCGAGTGGGCGCCAGGTTCTGGCTCCTACATCAACAAAGCAAACCCTTTCAACAAGAACTTCAAGGAGGACTTCTACGGGGCAAGCTATGACCGTCTTCTTGAGGTCAAGCAGGAATACGACCCTACCAACAGTCTCTACGTACTTTCGGGCGTTGGTAGTGACAAGTGGCAGTATGATTTGAACAGCGGAATGCTTTGCGCTGAAAACTGAAGGCAATGAGAGGCCACCTTGCCATTCCCCGTATGCTTGTACATTATTAGACTAGATTAACCTCATAGACTTTTGATTCATCCGAGTTGGCGAATTTCGTCAGAACTTTTGTATCATCTTCTTTTTTCTTTTCTGCTTGCTTGTTGTTATAATGCAAAACCGTGTTGTTTGAGAATCAAACACCTAGTTAGTAACAAAATCTACCACGAATATTCAGATGGTAAACATGGTTTTCTTTGACGGTTGAGAGTGCCTCTGTCATGGAGTGGCATTACGCTTGTCCGTCGAAACGTCAAGGCATGTTACTAGTAGAATTATTCCCAAAGGTCGTACAATCAGTAATAACAAATACACACGATGTAGTTACTGCGAATAAGGCTCTATCAGATTGACCTGCTGTCTTGTTTACACGGCCTATTAGTCCAGCAATTCAAATCCGTCAACATAGTAGCATTCCCTGAGGCTTTGAACACGATATTGCTAGGCCTTGAACTATTGATAAAGTGGTGAAGGCACTAAGAGACGCTAAGTACCGCTAGTCTCTCAACGCATGAACCAAAGTCCCGGACTGAAGTGATTTATGCAACAAATTCCCCTTTATGCAAGGATCTAACGTGATGTGATTCATCGAGACTGGGTGGAACGGCCATGAATTGAAATGCGCCATGGCTCTTGATCCAATCGTTGCAATACGACTAACACAAGACAAGTCTGCGCAGCATAACCCTTTTTGGGGACATTGGTACCGAACTGTGAAAGGCTCAAATTTCCATGTTGCTGCAGTCATTTGTCACAGTATCTATCATATTGTGTGAGCTGTGTATGCGCACGCTAGTCTTTGACTTGAGACACAACGCAGAGCGGGAAGCCCTTGGCCTTTCCACAGAGCTGCAAAAGGTGTAATGTAATGATTGTCTGACGACCTCCTTGCACAAGATGTCAAGATGATCTACGAAGCACCGTGTAACCTCTTTAGCTACCAAGTACGCTACGTGAGGGCCCGTCATGAGGACAATGTATCAAGATCCAGCGACTTTTGACAGCGGCCAACTCAAACCTTCCTTCCAAAACGGTCCAAGATGGCTGGCTAGTGCTTCGATGAGAGACCCGGCGCAAGGTTCGAAGACCCAATACGATCGATTTTCGTACACAAAGGCAAGGAAGAAAGCCAAGACTGCCAGCGCCTCAGGATGGCGTAGATATAACGAATCAATATAATCGTCTGAAATGATGACCGGCCAGGCTAGGGCGGCCTGGATTCTGTTGCTGAAGCTTTGAGCATTGTGGTTTGCAAGATCAAGCACCCATTGCATCCGCTGCAGAGCGTCAATGGACGCAGTAACCGGCATTCTCGAGGAATCTGACAATCTTTCTAACTGTTTACGCAGCTCAATAGTCTCGATACCGGCTTCCAGGTGGTCGATTCTGTTGCCAATCTCCACGATGTCTAGAAGGGAGCCCAAATTCGAGGCAAGAATCTGGGGCCAGTAATTGGCCGTCACGGCGCGGATTCCCCGGTGAACTCGTGCATAATCTACAAACGCGCTAACGAACTCGCCGAGATTATCCTGATGGTCTCTAAAAGTATTGTATAGGACGTGGATCCCGAGGAAGGAGGTGAAATGGAAGGCGGGTATGAAGTTTGTCTCGCTGATATTCCCACGGGTTTCGAGGAACTGGCCCAAGGCCCGCGTCTGCAGTTCGGTGGCGTACCGGAGGTAGAGATCCTGGCTTGCCTGCGCTGTGGTAGATAGGTATAAAGCACTAAGAGCAAGCAATTGATCGAGGAGGTAGGGCGCCACACGCGTGCTATTCAGAGCACTTTCCACCACCAGGCTCGAGTCACCGCCTGCTCCCATAAAGCTGGCCATGTTGACAATGGCATAGTGGAATAGACTCATGTGGACGGCGTCGTAGCGACCTGGAGCTGCCACGGGTGACCTCGCTTCAGCTGCCGCAGCAAGCAACGCGGTAGATGAGGGAGTTCCCGCTGGGCTGTTGCTGGAACTGCCTGCGACGTTCGTGTTCAGTCCGGCTTGGTCAGGCCCTTGGCCTTGGCCTGGCGCGGCTGCATACGAGCAGGTTCGGTTCCCAAAGGTACACTTGGCGCACCTTGGACGAACCTCGTCACACTTGACACGTCTTTTCTTGCACGTATCGCAGCCTGTCTTTGACTTTCTGTGAGTGCGGCGACTCTCGCTTTGGCCAGAGGGCTCGGGTGTCATTCCGATGGCTCTCTTGTGGCAGGTGCTGCAGCTCGGATCCGGGCACGTTAGAATGCGAGGTCAATGACGGTATATTTTCGGGAAGACATTACGATTTAAAAAGCCCTAGAGCAATGGGAGCCTTTGGAACATGGTGGCGGAGGTGGGGTTCAAGGTAGATGGCACATGACTGGTGGCCAATTTACCGTACGTAGTTAGCGTCTCGTATGCGCGCGCAGAAGTATTACGAATGAACGCGAGTCGAACGCGAAGGGCGTATCGAAACCCCACTTCACACCGAACAACAGGATCGACGAAGTGGGGTAGAAAATTGCGAGGCACGGCTATTTGTGGAAGTGGATACCACTCTTGTCGCCCACTTGCGACTTAGAAATACGAAGAAACCCGAGGGCATAGAACGTGTACGACTCTCGTAATTTGCAGGTAGTGGAAGACGCCTGGAATCGCCTCACTATGTCACGTTTGTCAGAAATAACCACCAGGGAAACATAACCTACAGCAGGATCAATCACATTAGGGTCACGACGGATAGCTAGTCAACGCTCACGATCTGTTGTTATGATGCGCAGTCATGCCGGGTGCACTTATGTGGAAGAATTCAGTTGTTAATTATTGTTCTTCTATTCAAGAATCATCAAGGTCTTTTATACTTGAGTTATCCTTGAGTTCTCGAATCTTCTATGTATTATTAACTTTGATCATGATGTGAGGGGAAACCTTGGTACTTCCAACACGATCCCCTAGACGCAATATTACTTAATTGACTACTATTCATACTCAATTATCCGCCAATACTGACACTTTCTGTCACATCGTCTCACCAAGGCCGCTATGATACAAGGGCTGTGTGACCACGAAGGATTCAAATTTGGATGAAACAGATGGTGCGGAAAATATCGTTATAGCTGACGAATATGATTCGATCCAAGGAGGTATAAAACAAACTAACTCTACTTACTCATTCAGTTGATGAGACGTAAGGACACCCACTAGGGTAATTTGGTGAATTATCATAGCCAAACAATTTCCGACCGTTCCCCTAACATTTCCCATCTAACAACTGATCGCTCACTTTTCATTCTTCACCGAGACCATATCTTCTCGCTATCGAAGGCCGAGAGACCTCAAAAATAATATCTGGTTGGGCTTAGGGTAACACCACGTATGGCCGTGGGGCAACCATTGGCATATTGTCGACATTACCCGAGTCATGACCGAAAAGATCGGACATAGCCTGGTATGTAAAGATCGCACTTGGGTGGCGTACAGTGAGGATGGCTGCAACGACAATCATGAGCAGGGCGTCTAGCATGTAGGCGTAAATCTCCTTAGAGATCAATGCACCATTATGGCCTTGAGCATATTCTATCATCCGAAAGACAGACCGCACCATGATAAGCGCGCTGGTAAGGTAGAGTACGGCCATGAACGCCTGCCATGGAGCACCCGTGGTTTGTGACCTTTTGGTAGGCTGCCTTAGTATGCGCACGTGGAAAATTGCCGTGATCACCATGAAGCCGCCGAAAAAGATGACCTGAATCGCGAGACCGACAAAAATGATATTGTTGCCAAGATCTTGGCTTTTTTTGTCGCTAGCACTAGCGATGAGTCCGCCACCTGGTAGGGTTAGTTATTCTGGTCTTAAAGCCTTGGGGGTTTTTTAATGCTGTCCCACCTCCACCTTGCCCAAAAAAGGAGAGAATGTCTCCCAGCAAGAAGATTTTAGTAAGCCGGTTCACCTTGATCATGGAGAGATGCTGTCCCTCGAGAAAGCATATGAGCCGGCCTAATACCATGTAGATGGAAGCTGCGAAGAATGTTGGGCCAAGGAGGATGAAGACGTTCTGAAAGATGTAAGGCATCAGCTCCCAGTCGGGAGTTTGTGTTGCCGAGTATGCTCGGGCGCCATATCCCACGGTTTCCACTATTTCGCGGCGCAAGCCACGTCACCATTAGTCTTGTATCCAGCGGGGATTTGATACTATAGTCGTACCAAGGCAACCTATGGAGAAGGGAATAAACGACCACGTTCTCGTTTTGAACAAAAGCTGAAAATGGCGAGCGGAAACAACACCGAAAAGAACGGTAAATATGATGGCAGATACAAGGGAGGGCTTGTAGAGGTACAGCTTGAAGTCGTCAAAATCGGTGTTGGAAGTTGAGTTGGGTGTCATGATGTGTCTTGATCGGGTGATCGGGAAGGAGGTGACCAAACGAGGAGTTGCTGAGCAAGTAAAGGATAGTGACTGCTGAAGAAAAATAAAAAATAAAAATGCCTAATGAATGACTGGACTGTTGCTATAATGCAAGGTATTGTAAATATCAGCTTCGAGTCGACTTGGCACGCGGGGACTATATAGGCGGACGGTTCTACTCTAAGAGAGCTTACTGCGTAAGGCAGACTTAGGGGAGCCCCGGATGTAGATACTTGAAGGCATGAATACGAGCCCTTACAATCAAACCAGTCAGAGCTTCGGATGCCCCGACTACGCGGCAATATATAAACGTGTAAAGACTCGGGTTATATCTTTATTTAGCAAGTAAAATCCGTAACCGAGCCTGTTAAACGAATCAAGTTGCTACTAAGGAGGCATGTGTCGAAACCACTAGCCGCGGTGAGCACCGCTTATGTGGGGTTTAGTTGATTAGTATCTGTGTGAAAATACACGAGAGTGTATCCCCGCGATTGATAGCAAAGCGGAACAGTCGAGAGGCGAGATAGGCTTGTATATTACCGGTAGTATAATTCTCTAAGTTACCTAGGAGACTAAACCATCTATATTGAAATACTACTGCAGTCCTTATTATTTACGGAGATAATACTAATATTACTATTTAAACCCTAGTATTTAGTTTTATAAATAATCGAGTTAAATTATATCTTTAGTAGTCAACTTACCTAGTAAGATATAAGTAGAGTATATTACTAAAGTGCTCTATAACTTATATAGAAAGTGCTATTTAAGTGCTATTGTACTTGTTCAAGTAGATCTGTATATATGTATATTAAAACCCTTTAAACTAATAAGCAATTAAACATCCAACTCAATATACAAAGTAAACTAAATTAACCTTCTATACCTGATGTACAATCTATTTGCAAAACGCCGTAGAAATTATCGGACCAATTAAATAAATTTCCCAAGCCCTTTTCCAAGCCGTTGCAGCAAGTATCAGCTGCTGTTACAATCGTAAACCCATTGTACGATCTCCTTGCCCATGTGAAGCACTAACCTCTCATAGTGCGGTCCGTCATCAACGAAAAGGCTGCAATGGGCGCCTACTTCATCTATGCCCTCCATGGAAATGCGCACCCACGTAGGATCAGCCTCGGGCGGAAGAATGCAGAATGTGCGCCCCTCATCCGGTTTTACCGCACCTTTCCTGTCCACCTCAACTTCACCAGCTGCTTGGTGTTCTTCTGCGGAATTCCAGTGGCTATCTAGACCACCTTGAAATAGTGATAACAGTCGCCAGAAGAACTCCGCTAGGCCACTCAAGAGCGCGCTAAAGCGGTGCGAAATATTGGTAACCTGACATAGTCTCACACAATGGTCGGTAAGCTTGGACGTCACCACGGTGGTCCGTTCTTGCAGGCAAAGACCATCAGTGGCAGATTGCTGGTAGTGGCCTATGCCCTCGACCTCAGTGCTCCAACTGTCAGAATCCGGCTCGCTAGAGAAGTGGCCTATTCGGTGGTCCTTTCCGGCCTGCTCAAAGAATTGCTCCTTGTCCACATCCCTATGCCCCAGTGATGAAACTTTCGACCTGTGGCAGGATTGCCGTCGTGTGCTGGCAGTGAAGAAATTCAAAAATCGGATTCCTGGTCGCCTCCCTAGATCTCCGGCCTGTGTGACTCGCTTTTCATACGTTGGGGGAAATTCATTAGAACCCTCTAGAGCTCGTAGCTCGTGGTATCTAAGCCTCAGGGTCCAAGGACGCCTCAGACAGCGCCCATATGCCCAGTGAGAAAGACAGTAGTCGATGGCTTCAAGGAGCCAGCCCTGGAGGCCATCGATGCAAACAGACTGCACGATCTTTGGCTCAGATGATCGTCTTATCGGCCATACTTCGTTGTCGTTGAAGAAAGGGGGATTGAAGCAGGCATCCATGTCAGATGCGGGTGGATTCAAGAGCAGAAGTCGAGACGAGGAGGAGTACTGTGACTCGAGCATGTCCGAGTCACCATCCTGAGCGTTTGCTTCGACTTGTATATTAGGACGAAACAGAGACATAATGCCAGGAATGATAATGCCAGGGTTAAGACCCAAGAACGGACAGTCCAACGATATTGTGCCAACTAGAGAAGGGCGTGACTGGTAAGTCAAATAGAGGGACTTTTTCTACATTTAAAATTAGTCAACAGTGGCACTTTGATGTAGAGAAGGAACTTACTAGCAGAGCAGCCTGGGCAGCCAAGATACCACGTAGAGAGTGTCCTACTAAAATGACATCTGTTTGAGAATTCTCATGTGGTTGAAGCCAGCGGCTGAACTTCTCTACCGCGATGTCCATGGCATTGCGCGTTTCGTACTGGGGATAGATCTTTGAATAGACGACATAGGTATCGCAGAGGGCTTGTTTGAGAAAGCTATGGACATGTGAAGGGAACTGACCAAAAGACTCTTCACTCCCGCAAAATCCATGAATGTATATGATAAGTAATCTCCTCTTTCCGGTCGCATGGCCAGAAACATCGGAAGATTGAGGGAAAGACTGAGGTGAGGATTCGCCAAGCCCAGCGTAAGAAGCCATTTGGTCCAAGTTGAATGCAGCGCTTAGCAAGAGTGTAGGCCTCCAAATTACCTCGTCTACTCACGGCAGGTTCGTTGCGGAGGAAGAATCCAAAGGATGTTACGCAAAGATGAGGCTTATTTATCGTAGTAAAAGGCATAGGTCAGAAGGCGCGTTTGGAATAGACCCCTATACGCCGTGGATCACGTTTGAACATGCGGCCTACCCCGAACCTAATCTATAAAGCGAGCTACAGGGGCTCGCCCGTTTCAGGGACTGGAATTCGCGCCAGCCTCGTATTTCCTCGCTATATAACGTCGCCACCGACTCTAAAACGAGTTGGACCGTGCTTGGTCGGGACTAAGTTAAGGCATGTGAGATAAGCTCTCGGCTACATTAAATATCTATAAATAACACATCTAATACATATGTGCCTATACGCAGCAATTTGGTTCTCCAGCGTCGCCGTATCAGCCCGCGCAAGTGCCCCGATTGAGGCTCCTTTCCTTCCAGGTGCCGAGATCCTCTCTCTCAGCGCATCGCCCGTCCTTGACTACACGCAGATCGCCACGTTCGCGTTCAACTATAACCATCCCACAGTTCAGGCAACCGGCCTCAACTTTTGCAATGTGACCATCACCTTAAACCACCCAGGTCAGGGAGACGAGGTGGACGCTGAGTCCTGGCTTCCACTGAGTACCTGGAATGGCCCTGCTCAAGAACTTCTACGGCCGGGAGCATGATTACCCCTACTGTAGCGGCTGTTCGACGGGCGGCAGGCAAGTTCTTCCCCTCGCGCAAGATTACCTCGACGACTACGATGGTGTTGCCGCCAGCGCGCCCGCTATCTACCTCCCTCAGAGCTTTGGGTCCACGCTCTGGGGCCATATGCTAATGCAGCAGCATGGCAAATTCCCGTGCTCCAGCGCGTTTGAACGAATACGCGAGGCCGTCATTGCCGAGTGCGATCCCCTCTCGCTGGTAGGACAGTCATTCAATTGATCCGACACGGGCCGTATGCCTGTCGTCAGCCGGGCCGCCGCCAAGCTCAGGGTTATATGTAAAAGCAAAGTCTCTTGTAGCTTGAAGTTAGACAGTTCGACTGCATTCGGGGATAAACCCCTTGACTACAGATGCTATTCGGCCCGTTTTATTCTATCACCCTGGCTTGATGGATACCAGTATCTGTGTTTGTTTGTGCCAGTGTTAGTCTTCGGGTAAATGCGAGGTGAGTCGTCTACGTCCGCCCCGTGGGGTGTAGCTCACTTTCATCTTCACTGCGTGTTGTAAAGGAAGAGCATTAAATAGATGGGAAAGGGGTCAATTTATAAGTTACACGGAATCTAATCAGCGGACTGAACTTGACTATATACTACATACTAGTTCAGTAAGAACTTGCTCCGATTTTCCCCTCTCGTCCCACCTTATTGTAACTAGGCTCTTGACGCAACTTTACCTCAACACTGATATCTCAGTCTTGGCTCGGAGGTCACGAGAGCTGAATCCACCAGCAAAAGTGAAGGTGCCCTCGGGGATAACCCACTGACGAGTAGCCTCATCCCAGAAGCTAAGATCCCTTCTCTGGAGAGGAAGAGTAACCTTCTTAGTCTCTCCAGCCTTGAGATGCACCTTTTCGAAACCCCTCAGAACCCGCACTGGGGTACCAGGTGGGGTTGTGTCTTGTGGGAACGATACATATAGCTGAGGCACTGCGTGTCCGTCTCTGTCACCAGTGTTGTGCACCTTGACAGATACCGTAGCTGCTCGCACCCAAAGATCAACCCATCCTCCAGGCACCTTGCCCTTGGACTCATCCACTTGAGCTTCAATGCCGGTGGCTATATCAACGGTGAGTTCTGTTGACATTTCAAAGGTGGTGTATGACAGGCCGAACCCAAACTCATACTGAGGCTCAATGTTCATGGCGTCAAAGTGCCGGTAATCGATAAATTGACCTTCTGTGTAATCAACTGACCATGCATCAGGATTGGCAGCTGGTTCACTGAGGTTGTAAATAGGTGCGCCGTAATCCCTTTGGTTCTTGGGAATAGTATATGGCAAACGGCCGGCGGGCTCCGTTTCACCCCAGAGAACATCCACGATAGAGTTGCCGATTTCTTCACCAGGGTAATGGGCTGAAAGAATAGCGGTCACGTTCTCGTTGTCGGCCCAGGGCATCAAGACTACACCTGGACCGTTGATAATAACAACAGTATTGGAACACAACGAGGCTGTACTCTCGACGACCTTGGTAGCATTCCAATCAAGGTCTAGCGACTCTCTATCCTGGCCTTCTGCCGCAAATGCCTTCAGAAAGACCAGACAGACATCAGGGATTGGGTAAATGGACCTGAACTTGCCCTCAATGATGTCTTCGTGTTCCAGAAGGATCTGTACCCGACCACCTTGTTTCCGCACACGTTCTCGAATTGCGTCCAGTGGGGCGATGAGTTCGGTATGGCGGACTATGCCAGAGCCGCCGCCCTGGTCGAGGGTGCCCATCTCATAAGACACGGACGCGTCTTCATAGTCGAAATAGATGGATCCGATTGTTGGGTATGGCGCTCCGTTTCCGAATACACCGATATCGGCTTGGTTCTTCAGAGGCAAGGTGCCATTGGTATTCTTGAGCAGCACAGTGGCAGCGGCACCTAGTTCTCGAATAACCTTGGCGTGATGGCCTCGAACATCGCGTGCAGGGATAGGTGTAATTGGGAACTGGGGATTCTTGTAGCCAAATTGGTTGACGGCAAGGGCAGCAGTGGAAGCAGGATCTAGATCAGGGAAATCCTTATTCTGACCTAGAAAGAAGTATGGCCTCAGAACTCTCTCGGCCATATCGTTGAGCCGACTCTCTGTCACATTATCATCGCCGATCGCGTCGAGAAGCTGATCGCCGAAATACGAGGCGCCATAGTCTTTGCTGACAGGTCCTGGCATCTCGAGGTCGAGCCCTGCATTGGCGAAGGAGGCTGTGCCATGTGTCGCATACCAGTCCGAAACGACGTAGCCCGGAAACGCGAGCTCGTCCTTCAGTAGCGAGAGCAAGTGCGGGTTCGCGCAGGAATAAGTCTGGTTGACACGGTTGTAGGAGCACATGATACTAGCAGTGCCGGCTTTGACGGCGTCGGCAAAAGGCCAAAGGTACAGTTCATGAAGTGTACGTTCATCAATGTTGGAGCTCAGAGCATTGATGACGGTTCCGTCCTCCTTAGTGGTACTGGTGCGCTGTGTTTCCTGCTCGTTGCCAATGAAGTGCTTAGAGCACGCTTGTACACCAACAGATTGGATGCCGGAGACGGAAGCGTTCATGGCGACACCAGAGAGGTAAGGGTCGGGGCCGAAACCCTCCCAGTTTCGCCCGCCAAGGGCGCTGCGGCCCATAGGACCACAGGATGGTCTGCCCTTGCATTAGCATACTTTTAACCCTAAGCTCGCCAAGGCGGACGTTGCAATGACTTACCCCAGATGTACATGAGAACCTTTGGCCCTAAACTCTTCTCCAATGGCAACGGCACGTTCATAGATAAGGCGCCTATCCCAACTAGCAGCTGCAGTAAGGCCAGAAGAGAAGACGCTCGCACCGTCGGACCTGGTATATCCAGAAGGGCCATCAGAAAAACATATTCCCTGAAATCCTAGCCTCTCGACTTTTCCGATTGTGCCAATGCAGGCAGGTCCGTCCATGCGATAACCGCCTGTAGCGATGCCAATCTTCTCGGTCGTATTGAGCTGTGCTACAAAGTCACGGGCTTGATCGGAAGCATCCTCCCAAGCTGTCCCAATGCTTGGTTAGTTTTTACAAGTACTGGTAGAAAGGAATTAAAAACCCATACACGTAGATACTTACAAGATGCTGACCTCTGACTGAGCAGTGTCGCGGAAGTGTGGGAGACGAGGATGAGGCCTGTAAGGCTCGTCCACGCAGTTGGGACATGCATTGTGCCGCAGAGGATCTTGATCTCGCTTTGCTGTGTGGAAGGAAAGAGAGAAACTTGTTGCTTCTTCTTGTTACTCGTAATGTTTTCTGTTGGCTATTAATTGGTGTTACTCGTTCCCTTTTATATGTCTTATTTTATACGACTTCGTATCTAAACTACCCCCAAAGTACGGGGTAAACGATCGCCTGATCAAAGATAACATGAATTCCCCAGGATATTGCTCCACCTTCGGCTGATCATTCAGGCATGACGCCATTAAATTAGAGCCAAGTCTTCGGCAACGGTCAACTTTACTGCCCATAGAATCGGAAGCTGGGGTAAAACGGATGAAGTCGGCATTACCTCGGCCACTTACAAGAACCTCATCAGCTGTCAGATATAACTATTTTAGCTCTTCGGGTAAATCAGAGTTTGGTCATGATATCGTCACACGAACTTGCCTTGTGTCTGTATTATTCGGCTTTATTACTGATCTGGGGCTACCACTTTGTAAAAAATCATATAAATGCGAATCAAGCAAGGTATAAGCAAAAGGCGCTAGCCACGCTAAACCGTTAGCTTGATGCATACCTCTTTAGTACTTTAGTACTAGTAATAGCCTGACTCGTATACCAGGCACCCTTGTAAACCTTGGCATACTGGTAAGATCTACGGATACGCTTCGGGTTATTGGCATCTAAACGAGATGATTCAATCACCCTAAACGAAACCCGAAGTCTCATACGTTCGGTCTCGTTTAGCCAAATAGACATAATCCTAGATTTTAGACATTTATCCGTAGTCGAATAACCAACCTCCTAACTCATGCCGTGTCGGTTCTAGGGAGAACAACAGACAATTACCCTATTTGAGCATCTAGAGCACAAATACGGCACCAGGCTTACTAATTAATTAACGAGGTTCAGTATTGATTTAATATTATTAATTCAATTTAGATCAATTCAATTTAATTCTGCTTCTCGGATTACATAAGTTAACACAACTTAATTCAATATTGGTGCCTATTAGTTAATTGATATATAGTTTAGAGTAAGAGGTTGGTGAGGATTAGTGAGATCGGTGACAATAGTAGATGCTGCCTCTGCATGGCTTGTTTAGCAGACCTACCCCGCCTCAACAGCAGGAATTATTTACGTTATTGTTTACTTTCCAGACAAGATGTCAATATATCTAACTACATGCCTTCTAGCCATTAGTTTTCGGCCATATCCCTTTCCACTGCTGTAACAAATCCTCCCGCCCTTTCTCAGCCGCAGCGACCCTCGGTCTACAGCAGCGATACGACTATTGATGACATGCCACCCTACCAGTGACCGTCTCGTAGACCTGACGGAAGACCTTCCAGTTGGTACCGAGCGAGCTGCAAGTCTTGAGATCGAGTCGCCATGTGAAGAAGCTGATCAGTATGCCGAGGTAAATCGACTCGAGGCATTTATCTGGGTCCCCGAATCAGTTCTCTGCAGAAGATAAAAGGGCCGTTGTTGGCTGCCGATGGTAATAGCAACGGACGATTCTGGCCTGGAAGGAAATAGCCAGAGACCTGGACCTGGGGCCTCCTTTGCGGACTGCGTCTTGGTGTTAGGGACAGGACTGGGACCAGGGGGGTGGCCGAAACGGCAGCAGTGCGTGGAGAAAGACTCGCCAAATATAGCAATAGTTGATAACTGCTTTAGGCAAACTTGGCACATGGCCAATTTGGGTACTACATCAGTGGGAAGTCTTACTTGTCTCACCGATAAAGACGGACCTAATGGCTTACTTGTAATGCGCTATCTAGGCAAACTAGACCACGGTCACGGCGAAGCCGACTCCTCCAGTCATGGTCGTAAAGAAGCGGTCTACTGGTTCTAATTCTAGTTGAGTGCCCTGCCTCATGACCTTGTTTCGAAGGCGACGAGTATCGAGAACCCCGAGTAACGCTCCCAGGACCTTATGACTGCTTCAAGAAGCAGCAACTGCCCAACTCCCCCGTTTCAGCCCCTCGTGTCATGAACCACAATAGGGTAGATGCTGAAGAGCATGTACTGCAGGGTATAGATAAAGAAGATGTACAATGCGCAAACGAAGGAGATGGTAGCAAAGAGGAGGATCCACGGAAGCGTAAGCGCCTTTCTGTACTGCCCTTCAGCGACGGGGTGTTGGCCTCAGCAGGGGAGTGCACATTCCTACACAGCGAGATCTTCGATTGCCGCGCCACGTAGGCTTTCCTGGATAACATCGTCGGTGCGTGTGTTTCAGGTAGAGTGAACATGAGCACGGCGCCGACCGCCCCAAGCCAAAGCACGACGTAGAAGCCCCATCTCCAACTATTTGACACCTCAAGAAATCCAGCGACAATTGGTCCAAAGGAAGTCGGGTCCAGATATCGAGAGAAAATACCGCCATAGCATCGCTTCTCTCTATAGGGCACCAGGCGTCTACTAAAACGCCATGAACAATAGTAACTATTCGCATCGAACGATCGATCGATTGAGAACCCTGAGTAATAATTGGCAAAAGCGACCCTTTATACTGCTGTCCTTTTACAAAAGTAGACAACGTCATCTCTTTAAAACTATTAAATCTATCCACTACTTGCTTTCTGGAATTTGCGCCACCTGGCGATCGAAAACCCTCAGTACCGCCCCTGCATCGACACGGTGCTTGCCCTCTCGCAGCATGGCGACGCCTTCGGCCTGCCTTGACTGCTTGATGGTCCTTCGCGTATCCCTCCGCATGGAAGCACGCATACTCTTGTAGGCGCCTTGGCTGGTGAACGTGAGTAGCCCTAAAGCTCCTGATGATACCTTCGTGGTCAGGTTAAGGACTCCGATGCCCACACCCTTGGCTGCGCCTACTGCTCCCTCCTTCTTCGCACCTCGCACAGGTGACATAATCAGCCCACCGACTCCCTCTAAAATTCCGTGGCTGAAATTCTTCCCCGCAGCGATACCCCCTGATTTCCAACCTGTCACAGGACCGGGGTCATACACCTCACCACCATACAGTCGTGGAGCGACACGCATACCCTCCTGAAGCGCGTGCGGGATATCAAGGTAGACGCCCTTTGTGAAGGCCTTGAAGAATCCACCGACAGCACCGGCGGATCCAGCAACGGCAGCACCTGCGCAGCTTCTGTCGTTCCTCCTGTTCTGATTGCCTTCTGGCAGGTTGAACCCAGCAGGTCTACCATATACCGAGTCTTCTAATGCTTGCGTACTTGAGGTTCCAGCCGAGTTTGGGTACCTAGTGTCAGGTCTGTCTGCCATTAATACCTGTGCTGGCTTGATAACGATGTCTGCTGCCGAGGCCACCATGCCAGTATACATCTTAAGCCCCGATGAGAGGAGAGCGGTGACGGGATCCCACCTTCGGCGCTGTATATCTATGGGTTGAGGCTCGTAGCTAAATTGCTAAATTAGTTAAACGTGCAGTATTAGATTGTGCAATTATGGCGGCTTACCGTTTAAGGTCGCCCCATTTGACCCTGTGGCTATCTGTTAGAATCTCTGCCGCCGCTTTAGAAAGCTTGAGATGCCGCGACCCCATTTTGTAAGACCAAGCAGCCGGCAATCCAGGTATAACATCGCAACGCATTTTATCCAGGGGAAGGTTAGCGTGAAAGGAGTTAACGGCTTGTCTGACTCCGTCTTCTTGCCGCATCTTCTCAGCCATGCCTCTTGCAGCCGCCAGCGCACCGGGAGTCAAACAATCCCTGATAGCTTGACCGAGGTTTTGACTATTAAGCGTCTTTTGAGGGATCGGCATGGGACCTGCACCTGCAGCATGGACCATGGTGCCCCAGAAGGGTTGACTAGCCATGTTAGCGTTTGCTGCGTTAGAAATAGAACGGGTAGATGGCACACACTCGCCAAAGAAGGGCACAATGACCGTTGGCTTTCCGTTAAGCAACCCGCATGCGGTCGTCCCAGCTCCGCCGTGATGGATAACGGCAGTGACTTGTTGGAATAGCCATTCATGCGGGCAGTCTCCAAGATAGAAGATGTCCCTGTCGGCTGGCTGATTAGCGCCTAACTTACTCCATCCTTTGGAGATGATTGCACGAACGCCTGTCGCTTTCACAGCATCTACCAGTATGGCCGTCAGCTTATCAGCGTCGTCAATGACAATGCTTCCGAAGCCAATGTATATAGGTGGAGCTCCATCGCGTAAAAAGGCTCCAAGGTCAGAATCGGGGATATACTGTGGTGCGTCGCGGAAGAAGAAGCCGCACACGTCTGAGTTATAGTTAGCGTTTAAAGGAAGGGTATAACAAAACGAAGTTAGTAACGCACCAATGTAATCCGGCCAATCGAGAGGCTTGGGAATGAGTGTTGGGGACCAGCAATAAGTGAAAGGGATCTGCAATGTCTCAAGTAGGCTTGCGCCTTCAGAAAAAGGAATGTCTTCCAAATCCAGACTTTGCCTCCATGCATTAATGATGTCGCCGAGTCTGCCGTCAGGTCAGTGTGCAGGTCGCAGGTGAGGAGAGTAATGCCTTTATTCTTACCCTTGCCATGTCATCCATTCGACCGCCATGTACGAGATTTGGTTAGCGACAGCAGCCGAGATACGACTATCGTTGACATTGATGTTGGCCAAAGGGTGGCAGAAGTACTTAGTACTGCTCCAGGGCATAGTGAACATGAGGTGTAGTGGGATGCCGAGCGCTTGAGCGCAATGAACATGGGCGAAGCTTGGCGGGTTCGCAATGATGGCGTCGGCGACAAACGGCTGTTGGTTCAGAGGATCAGGCTCAATACATGACCGCCAACAGCCTTCCAGCATCTCAGCAATCATGAGGCGCTTCTTCTGGATGTCACCAGCACGGAGGCTCTTCATGGAAGGTATCAGGCCGGGGTTCTTAACCATGTACGCCATCAACTCGGTCGGGTCACCGCCGATAGGATAGAACTCAAGGCCGGATTCGAGTACAAAGTCGGCAAAGGTGTCGTGAGTAGCGAGGCGAACTCTGTGACCGTGGCGTTGAAGCTCGTTACCGAGCGCGACGAAGGGCTGAACGTCTCCTCGACTACCGACAACTTGGATGACGATGTTCAAGCGAATGCTCCATTCGGTCTGCTCAGCATAGGCGGGAGGTAAAATGCTGACAGGCCGGTCGAAATTTAACTGCTCAGGCCCACTGCGAGGAACAAGCAGGGAGAGGGTTCTGCAAAGTTTAGAATCGAGATTTAGGTCGATACGCCCATCGGCTGTGGTTGTTATGTCAGTCTGGCGAAAAGAAAGGGTTTAATTCGCATTATACCTGTCGCTCCTGCTGCGTCGTTCAAGATCCGTTCAGCAGCTGCAGGTTCTTCCGCATATTGGGGAGGAGCCTCGTCCGGCATAGCGTCGTTACCCGGGCCAACTTCATATGGTGCAAATGACGATGGGTGCCTCGGCGCTGATGGCTTAGGTAGCGGTTTCTTGTTGCTGCACATGGCGGAACAGAGTCAAGCATGTCTCACTTGCGAGTCTCAAGAGAACGAAGGGGAAGCCGAAGAAGTTTGTCGTGGAGGGGCAGAAGCTAGATCAAATGAGATGGGACAGCAGTGCTTTTAAGAGAAATCACTAACCGACTCTAGTTTGAACCTAAATGTCAACCGTTGTGATGGTCTAAATCTGAAGGAGGCGCATGATAGTATGCACAAGCTGAATCGTGTAGAGAGGGCGGCAGCTTTGAGCTACGGATGCTTCGCTTCGCCAGGTGGATAGCCGTTTTAGGATAGTACGCAGGTACAGAGGCATATTAAGGGGCAAATTAGCGAGTGGAATGATAGGATGAGGCTTGTGTTTGTTGCAAGCTGAGAACAATCTGAGGGAAGAGGGCGGCCTTGCCGATCTAGCGCCGATCCAGCGCCGATCAGTTCGCATTAGGCTTGTATTTAGTCGTACTCGTCGTTTAGCTCGTGTTCTTGCAAGCTACAGCTTTACTAACAGGGAGTTGTATACACTGTAAAAGAGCATCAGCCTAGGATCCAACCAGTTTCCTCCATCGGCCGCCGCATCCAAATCTTATACTCTTGGTCGAGTAAAGAGTAAATCTCCGATAATAAATGTTCTACCCAGCCACGGGTCCACCAGAATGAACTGAGACCATTAAGAAGAATGCAGAAGTACGAAAGAATGACGAGCGGAATTGGCTTTTCTTCCTGTAATAGACGGACGAAATCATCCTCCAGCTGATGCACCCACGGTGTATTCGCGACCCTGCATATCGGTGTTCTTACTTTTACTTTACGAGACTTGCAATTAATACAGCCGTCTCGGGATTTCAGGTGATGTCTGCGCGATGCTTTGTGTGTGAACGGACGCGATGGGCTCGTTTCGTTATTGCCGAGTGACATGGCGAAAAGAATCTGAAATATGTGGGACAGAATGTGGTCGTACAGCTCCGGTTGGGGGCTAGTCTCGTGTTGGGTGGGGGCAGTGCTCTGGCCTCTCAGTGTGAAGTTCCAGCATACGACCAACAATACGACGGGGAACGATCGTATCTCTCGTATAATCGTATCTTGTATTGTTTTATGAACCACCTTTGAGGGGGCCTATCCGGAGTGGAGTGGAGCTAAACGCCTCGCATTTGTCGAAGCCAAGTGACGACTGTGTGATGCCGTACTTGTTGCAGGATTTTCCACGGAGTAAAGCAATTTAACCTGTTAATGCTCGCTTTTACTCTTGTCAAGGGTCAAAGTCACTTGACTTAGGGCCTTAATAGATATACAAGACCTCAGACAGAGGCGTCTGCAAGGAGCTAGAGGTAACCTTAATGGAATCTTAAACTATCCTTCTTTTATATGTAAAGTCCAGTCTTAGAGATCCTCTAGTGGATAGATCCACGCCTATAAAGGGGTATATAAGGGGACATACGCCTTTACTCACTGCTTAATCGTACAGTAAATAAACCAGCGTCTGTGTTAAGATCCCAGGACCCCTTCCCAGCGCCATACGAAACGAAGCGGCTTGTCACTGACCTGGCAGTGAGCCAGGTAGGAGTATTCTCTGCGCATGGAATGTATACAATAGTGGCCTTATCTATGTGAATCTTGGAGTCCGGCATTGTGAGCTTCAAATCTGCAAACAATGATTCTATCTTGATGGCTATCATCAACTCCCCACGTAAGTTAGTTGCGCCTCATGTAGGGTTGTCTCATCATATAACGAATCACTTTAAATGGGTATAGTACTGCTGAGATCTGGCATGACGAGTTGAAAACTAAGTACGCAGATGGTATGTTTATGGGGAACTATTAGCGATTATATACAGAAGAACTTAATCCAATACTGCTCGAAGCAATAAGTCCGGTTCCACCAGGCTGAGAAATGTGCAGCGACTGGCACCGGCTAACTCTACAACTCTACGGACTCATCAAACCAGTCTCGCATTTTCGGGGCATATAGTATGGCTTCGAAGAATCAGGAACATATTCTCCGCCAAGCTTTGCTGCGCCTGCTTTGGCGGCGGATCGTATGTAAGCCCGTCTCCGTTCACTCGGCCGCTCAAACACAAACGTAGTCTGTCGCCCTGGTGGTCACCTTCGGGCTATCCTCCCCCTTCCCACAGCTCTTGAGAACAGCCTTCTGGGGGTACGGACACAGGAGCCTCTCAAACTCAGCGCCACCTTCAACCGGTGTGTACAAGTGTGGCAGCGACTCGGGAACAGTGCCGTTCTCAACCCAGGCCCGCAGAGCGTCGAAGGTGTTACTCGGCTGTCCGCCATTCCCTCCCCTGCAGTGCAGTAGACCAGGCACCTCGAACATGCGGTAAAACTCACCCACGTTCGGTATGATCTCCGAAACTGTGTCGTAGTAGTGTTCGGCTCCCTTAACAGGGATAACTTGGTCCATCTAGACAGTGTAAGCAACGCATGTACCAGGATGTTGAGTTCCACTTACCATGCCGTGATATCCGAGTAGCTTTCCGCCCATTTCGTAGAAGCTCGTCAAGTTGGGGTTATTCGTGCCAATGATGGCATCATACAGCTCGATAGACTTGGCAATATCATGGTCAAACTCCGCATGTGTCATCTCTCTCCAGTCCCAGTCAACGTCGTTCTCGACGAAGTACTTCAGCCAAACATCGCCCAGACCCATTGGCACGCCCACGCAAGTCCCATTTTGGGAACAGGACGTCATGGCTGGACCCAGGTCAGGAGTCGGTCCAGTGGTTGAACCACTAAGCAGACTCCCCGTGTTGGTTCCGTACCACATAAATTCGTCGTTGGCGGTCCGTGGGCCAGTCCATGTGGCTTTAGCAATCTTTGCCGCTTCCTTGGTAATAGTCTCTGTCGTGTTTGTGTCCTTACAGAAGAATGCCTGTCCGACCACAGACAACGGGTCAAAGTCACAGCCCGAGTCATCGGAAATGATGCTGTCGTGGACACCATCGTGCTTATCGCAAGCCACGATGACCGCCGTCACTAGAGCGTCCAGCTCGCAGGACTTGGGGAAATAGTCGATCCACTTCATAATGAGCTGCGGCCACAGAGTGAACGCAAACAGCTCGTTCCAATTCATAGCGGGCGCGCAGGCGTGAATCCCGTTGTAGGCGTCTGGGTAGCGTTGGGCAAGCATCATGCCTTGTCGGCCGCCCTGGGAGCAGCCATTCCAGTATGCATATGCGGGAGGCTCGCCGTAGAAGTCTTCGACTATCGCTTTCGTCAGGACAGCCTACGTGTAAGATATAAACGTTAGTACAGCTTTCCGAAGGATTGTCGTGGTGTGTTGACAGACCTGATCGTGGAGTGAAACCGACGCAAGATCCTCCAATGCATGCACATTAGGCGAACCGTCCGCGTTCAGTGCCCAGCGGTCTGGAGACCCATCAGCTTGCGGAATGAGTCCAGCATCTGTTGTCGAAGTGGCGTATCCCTCGCCGAGGGCTCCCACCATGCCGCTGTAAGTCACGAAGAATCGACCCGCGACCCAGCTTCCCCCGCCGAAGGCTTGGATTCGACCATTGTAATTGTCCATGGGAAGCCATGTCTCGACGTGTATGGTGTCATTTGCATCGATGTGTTCGTAAACAACAGTGACGTTGCAGAATGTAGCATTATTGACCGTGACAATCGGGTGTCCAATGTAACTTTGTGTAGTGCTGGTGCCGCTATAGTTCCGAACAAGATTGACATCAACAGCGGTGATGTTAGCGCCTGGAAGGGTCGGCACCGCGAATGTGTTTGGTGAGCAGTCAAGTGCCATTGTACTTTTGGTGTCGTAAGAAGATGACGTCTATGTAGGTGTCTGGTCGAACTTACACAATGGGACAGGATATGCTTAAATACAGCTCTATAGACCGAGCCTGTCTTCCTGCATGCCTGAAATAGGGGAATAACAAAGTAGGGAATACGTCCACCTACTTAGTTTATCCTCGAGTGGATAATATTACCATTGTCGCAAATTGGATGCGATATCAAAGGGGACGCACCTCGGCTTCGTATAGTCGGCTTCGGGTAGCACGCTTGATTGGGCCAAGTGGATCTCGCGTACGCTCGGGTTGCTAATGCGTGCCAATAAGATGCATCTCTTTTGTTCTTGGTGATATATTCTCCTTCATGGTGCAGAGCGGAGGCTCGGGCATGTCTGCCTTACAGGATGCAGAATCATTAAAGTAATCCGAGAGAATCGTTATAATAGGCCTTATGATCCAGATCATCATCTTCGGTCTGTTTTGCACGCTGGCGCTTCTTTGGTACCAGAGGATAAAGCTAGTACCCGTTTTCCCCATCACTCGTATTGCAGGAGATCGCCCGGAGTTTATTTATTGGGAGCAGATGTATGGATACTCTACGGTGTAAGCCTGTTTATCCTGGTGCGCTCTATCTTCTGGGTTATTAAATACTGCCAAGGTTATACTGGATATACTTTATCTTATGAGTGGATACTGTATGTCCTTAACACGGTGCTAATGTTTGCAGCGGCGGGTATCTTTTACTGGGGGAAATAAGGGTATCATTAATCAAAGATGGCCACTAAGTTGGAGTCTACGTTCTCCAAAGTATATATTTCGCTTTCGTACAATAAGCTATGCCAGACTCGGAATGTTGGAGTCTTAGACGCGTGGTCCTTTCACTCACACACTCTTGGCCTTTATGGGGCGTCGCATAAAGATCGTTGTTATTGGTCAACGGGCAGTGTCGTATTGTATCCGAGCAGTACGAGCAATGCCCCCCACCAATAGTAATGCGGCCATCCGAGAAACGCGAGTCACCGTGGCTCAAGCTTAAGCCTTAAGGCGGTGTGGCCGGCTGACTTTCCTCTACGCACCAGACTGAACCGATGCCATCGATCATCAATGTTCGCGTGTCGGAAGCTCGGTTTCGCCATCCTCTCTCATCGGCCATCTCCCGTATAGACTGCTCTCAATTCGATCCCGTCCGAAATGGCACGCAGGGCCCATAACAAGTCTCGCCTCGGATGCCGTGTTTGCAAGCAGCGCAAGATCAAGTGCGATGAAGGCAAACCCGCCTGCGATCGATGTGTGGCCACCGGCCGCCAATGTTCGTACCTCAGGGACGCACCAGATATTCCAACACCTGCGTCGTCTCTGTCAGTTCCCAGTCGAGACGCGACACATCTGCCGACAACACCTCAGCTCACGCCTGTCGCCCATGATGCCACGGCTTCCCTACATCATCCTGATGAGCAACCACCTTGCTTGGACAATCTATCACTCACGGAGAACAGGTTCAGTCTCGCACACTTGCAGCTGTTGGACCACATGAGGAGTAGCATGACGACTTCAGGACCCATCTTTCACTATGCGATAGAGCGAGGCTACAAACTGGCCCTCCGAGTCCCATACCTCATGGATCAACTACTTGCCCTTGCGGCAGCTCACAAGAGCAAGGTCGCCCTCGAGAACGGCGACGAAAGACTTGAGCGTTTCTTTCGCATGGAGGCCACGAAGCTCCAGACCAGGGCACTGTCCGGCGTCGCCCTCGCCCGCAACGTAGTGAACAGAGAAAACGCAGACGTTCTCTACACCTTTTCCGGCTTTCTCGGGCACCACGTCTTGTTTGACACCTTTTCGACTCGAGGGCCCCTTTCGGTGACCCTGGACAAGCTTGAACAATGCTTCGAACTAAACCAGGGCATCCGCTTCACCGCGTCTGAGGCCCTGCAAATGGGTTGCAGCATGACCGCTGGTATCAATGGCGCGGACGAGAGTTACATGACCACGAGCCCGCATGAGAGCGCCAGCGGTACCGAATGCGCCGGCATCCTCCAACGGCTGCGGGGCGGTGACCTTGACCAGGCTGTTGCCGACGTGTACTGCGAGACGGTCAACATCCTGCAGTACCTGCTCGACTCGTCACAGTCCTCTGCGAGCGAGCGAAGGGTTGGCGTCGTCCAAGAGTGGCTCGTGAGGGTACCGTATGAATACCTCACCTATCTGCGACAGAGACGCCCCGAGGCGATTGTGATACTTGCCCACTATGCCGTCTTGCTGCACCGAGCGAGGGATTACTGGGCTGTGGGCGAGGCGGGTCGCTTCTTAATCCAGGAGATAGGAAGCTATCTGGGCGGTTACTGGGCAGACTGGCTCGCCTGGCCGCAGCAGGCACTGGAGGACGGTTGAGGAAGAAAGGGGGTATCTTGCTACTACAACAGCATCCTTTCTACCTCATCCGCGGCCACACATCTTGGAGGTGTTTCTGAACGCCTGTTCACTACCACTGCAACCCTAGCTACTAATCGTCGCCATTAAGCCGGGGTTGGCAACTCAATGCACTCCAATACCTCATATGTCACTTCTACGCCTTTCGACTGACAACCTCTCTATTTGTCGCGCTTCCAGCACCAATTCAATTAACCATCAGGAGAAACACATTCAAAGTCCGCCAAAGAATCTAATCAACATCAATAAGACCCTCCTCCTCCTGGGCGGCATGACGCCCGACGTCACCACGCTCTACTACCCGGCTTGGCGCCCGCCACTCTGCCCCTCTCTACATCTTCAGCGCCGAATTCGAGTCAATGGTCCAGCATGTGACCCGAGGCGATTGGACTTCCTTCGCGCAGGCGTACCTGGATCCCATCGAGACTCTAGTCGTGGGGCCAACGAAGCCAAAGGTTCATGGGGTGGTCGTCTGCGCGATCCTGGCGCACAAGGTCGCAAAACAGCTGAAGGAGGCATTGAAGCCAACAGGAGTTCCGTTTTTGCACGTAGCAGACTTTCTGGCTAGGCATGTTGGGACAGAACTGCCAGAAGTCAAAACCCTCAGCCTCATCGGACTAAAAGTAACCATGCTGAGAGCAAATAACCTAGACTTCTTTATCGGCTGGCTCTAGTCTCCCGACAATGGTTTGACTGTTCTTGTCCCAACATCAGGGGCATCTTTCAATGAGGTCAACCGAGGCATGCTGGAGGTGGCCAACGTGACGCCGACTACAAAAGTCATGTTCGTCAAGGCGGCGAGGGCGCTAGTAGAGCGAGGCGCACGGGCGATCATCCTAGGTAGCACGGAACCGGGCTTTGTAACCAGCCAAGAGGATATTAGGGGAAATGTGCCGTTACTTAATGCTGCGACGATACATGCTGAGGGTGTTGCGAACCGGGCATGTGTGGAGGCGTAAGTCTAATTCCACTACCGAGTATCGTATTAACGTATACGTGAGCATTGTCTCGATGTATATTTGTATACATGACAACTTGCCACACCTCGCTATGCATATGGCCAATATACATCTTCTTTAATACCATCAGCACTTCTTCTTCAACCCCGTCTTGAACAACCTAGAGCCCCCTCATTAAGAAAGCCCCCAGCATCGTAAACACCGCTGCCCACACACGCGCAGCAACACAGCCATTCCGTCCACTCTACTCAATCGCCTCTACTACCGGCGGCCCCGTCAGCCCCGCGAAGCTCGCGACACTCAACGCCATCCCCAGCCTCGTGCCCCTTGTTCAACCTCGGGGTGATTCTCGCCACGCCTAGTCCTACAGTCCAAAATCAATTGTTGTACAATTGATTTAATTTACCCCACTTTACAGGGGGTTGACTTGATTTTTGACAAGGGGTAGACTTGACTTTGATAGGGGGTTGACTTTGATTTCTGATTGGTGCTTGGTTACACGTTCAGGCAGGACAACACTTTAACAGCTGCGCGTCGAGTTTTGACTCCTGTCCATCAGGGTCTATATCACGATGAATGTCAGATCTAGCCAACAATTAATGATTTTTTAGCTCTTGAGAAGTGTCCATCAGACCATGACACTCAAGCCTATGACGGAGCTCGGCCGTTCCAACCCTATATACCCGTTTATGCTTCTGTCTGAGTATCGGATTCTTGTTTGTCAGAAGTGCCAACAGGCTTGCTTGGCTCGCGAAATTGCCACTCATCTTGCCAAAAAGCATCCTGGAATAGACCCAGGGACTCGGCGTAGGCTGGTGGAAGATACTAAAGTGATACCGAATGTGCTACAAAGTCGGGTCGAGTTATCTCAATTACAGTATCCACCACCAACAACCGAGCCCATCCCTTGCCTTGCTCCACCCAAGCTTGACGTGCTCGAATGCAAAAATTATGGTTACAAGATTCGCCAAGTTCAGGCGATGCAAGAGCACTGTACTGAGTCTCATGGCTGGGTCAATCCCAGAGGCAAAGGAAGACCGTCAATAGGATATCTGGCGGCCGATCCTCTGCCTTGGATAGAAGGTGTTGCATGTCAACGATTCTTTCCTTCTCGGGAAGGTAGTAAATGGTTCCAAGTCAACATACAGACAAAGAAACAGGCGAACAGATCGAGAGAAAAATCCTGTGCCAAGAAGGCGCAAGAAACACTCCAGGGTCTTACATCTGAAGCGTCCACCCATCTACAACAAGTCATAGATCGGGAAATCCAATATCGAGAAGCTATGAGTCAACCTCGAGCAACCGTCAATGAAACAGGCACCGATACATTTGCCGCTACAAGCCTGTGGCTGGACAGAACGAAATGGCCTTCTATCTACCGAGGGTCTCGACGAGACGTCCTGCGAGCGTTGATCAGACTACCCGATCGCCACTGTCTTGACGCAGACTACATTTTGGGACAGGGCAATTCGGAAGGCGCACCGAACCTTGTAAGCCCAAGAGAGGACGAACAGAAGATCTCATGCATCATGAGAGCACTTGACTTGGTAATAGACCGTTGTGAGGATACGGTTCGCTGTACTAGTCATAATCTTCTTTGCTGGCTGCTCAGCTCGAGGCTCCAGAGTCGTCGGGAGATCGCTTTCAGCCTTGTGGCAGAGAGGAGTAGCGAGATTAGATATCGAAGGACTCAGAAGCAGTTCTTGGCTTTTATCCTGCGAATATACCGAATGCCGGGTAACTCTCGGCGAGAAATGATGAATGTGAAGATAAAGCCCGAGATCTCCACACAGCTAGATAGAATTTGGGAGCACGATATTTGGAACCATCTCGATGTGTCGAAGGGGAATTGGCCGGTCATGGAAAGACAGGGAAGTCCCCCGGTACGAACACAATCTGGTCCTATAGGCGGCCAATCCACTGACGTTCCTCTCAACATCCGAGCTTGTCAAGGATCAGATGGGAAAGAAGGCGCCGAGGATGGCGAGATAGACGATGAGAACGTTGAAGCTTGGGAGCTTGAAGACGAAGACGACGAAGACGACTATGATGACTCTGGATATTACGATGACGATGCTGATGGGTACACGGCTGGAACTCATCAGGATCTGTTCTCAGATGAACCAGGGGACCTTGTCGCATTTGCATTCGATCAATTCCTTGAACTCTTGTTTCAACTGTGTATCATGCTCAGTACCGAAAGTTTTCTCAACGGGCAACCAAGCTCTACACTGCTTATATATTTCAGCGGCATCCTTGGATTTTCCGCAGACTGTCAGAGATTCCAACTCGCCTGACAGTACTGCTCAAAACTGTCGGCGATGATTTATATACAGCGCATATTATTCCTGGAGCAAGCATTGCCTTTACGTGGATATAGCTTCATTGGTATTGCACAGCGACCGGAAGCCAGACATTTCGAGTGTTTCGACGAAGTCCGAGCCAAGTATATGGTTTTAGGCTCGCAGTACCCGTTGGCAGAGCTGATAAGCCTTCGAGATTTCGGACGTAACGTTGCACGCACTGAACCACCATCTATGCTTTTCCACTGGAGCAACGACGGCGAGATAGTGTCTCATTCCACATTTCAAGTAACAATGAATGACTTTCGCAAACTCCCAGACTATTTCATTACGCAGGCAGAAGCACTATGTGATCGATTGATGTTTGGTATGCATCCAAACGTCGATTTAATGAAGGTCAAGGATGATATCGCTAGTTCAAAAAGTGGTTATAGCTTTATTAAATGCACTGAGAATGGTCTTGAGTCAGCATACTTGGAATTATTAGTTCGTGCCTATACTGCAGGCAGAAACGGACTAGCTAGAGGCGGAATATGGAGATGGCACGCTGTAACAGCATATTTGAAACAAGTCAACAAGATGGAGGAGCACCTCGCAGGTGGCCTTTACACTGCCTGCGGCCAGACTCCACGAATCAGGGAACTTCTCAGCCTACTCTAGTATTCTAGTCGATAACGGGGCCCGTTACGGGTTTTGCGCCAATCAACGGTCTAGAAATCGACAGGGATTTCCAAAACTCGTAACGGGCCCCGTTACTGTTCAGGTCATGTTTACCAGAAGGCAAAACGGGGCCCGTTCTATAACACGGTGATCCGTGCCACCCATGCTGAGCTCATTCCGCGTAGGCAAGAGCCAATCATAGGTAATTAAAATGATTAGTTGACTTGACTTTAAGTCTGATCTCTCCTCGACTATCGCGTCTTGTACTTGTAGCTAATGGCTTAGCGATTGGATTTGTAGCAGTCTCTTCTCCGAATATCTCACCTTCTCAGTTTGTCTACTCAAGCACCTTTAAACAACGGCCTTCGTCAGCAAAATATCACGCCAAGTCAAGTTCAGGCGCTCAAGAGACTAGAGCTTCACTATGATATTCTATATCAAGCTATCATTTATATACCCTGTGGTTTCGCCTTGAAGACAGATGATGATCGCGTTGGATGCCACCTCAAAGAGAAACATGGAATATCTAAAAAGCGTCGGCAGAAGCTCAATGCCCTTGTCAATTCCCTGCACCTTCCTGACCTAGATAAGCTGCCGAAGTAAGCAGATAGGTCTGCATGGCATCCATATCTAGCCCTTTAGACTAAAGCAGAGTGCAAGCACTGCAATTTGCGGTCTATAAGTCATAATATACTGTCATGCTATCTAAAGAAAGTATATACCCAGGAGATTAATGGCATAAGTATAAGGGGGAAGCAATAACTATGCAATTATATCTGTAATAATCTTAATTTCCAGAGTTAGAAGGCCAACGATATTCAGGGATCCTTGATTATCCTGGTTATAAATAATTGATAATCACTGTAAAAGGGTCCTGATTGATCCTTGCAAGCCGTCCTGGATGCTGTTAAGGAATTTGCCTAGAAACTAGTCTCGGAGGAGCGCGGCCGCTTAGATGAGTAGTAATGCTTACCTAGCTTTAGTGGGACTCTAGGAAAAAAAGAGCTACTTACTAATTGGATGCGATGCACTCGTTGGGATAAAACGTTTAGTTAAGTACGACGCGATATGCTTATAACCCTTTCGGAGGTGCCCTTAACAACCGGTTAGCCCTTTTGGATAGGCGTTCACGATAGGGAATAAATTTGCAGTCCAGTAAAAGACAAGTGTAAGCTTGCCTTAATTATGCAAGCGCTAGATCATCTCTTCGACCAGTGTGCAGATACAGTGATGCATACCGATGTCAGCGTGCAAAGGTGGCTACGAGGCAGATTTTCCGACCGCCCCTACAAGGCGCCCTTCGAGCTCGTCATACGATCGGCCTCTAAATCACAATATCAGAAAGAGTTCAAGCACTGTCTCTGTTTCTGGCTTCGAGTTCTACAATTACTAAAGGGAATTGATAGAGCGGCATGACGGTTTTGATACAGAGGCATGACCTTACAGCGGCATGACTTTATATAACATTCAATTGGTCAGTTCTTCGCGGACCCATAAATACTTCCTGACGAACCCAGTGTGACCAGCTCTCTTAACATGATCTTATTCTTACCTCAAGCTCTCCCAGTGCTCAAGATCTTGGCATAGTAGGGTGTCTCAAGAGGTCTCATTTTGAATGGAAAATTCTTGCTCTGTTTATTGCTCAGGAAACACGTCTAACGCTCTACTCTCTGACTACTATAGAAGGAAGTATATTTTCATCGCTGTCAACTAGCTCCCATTGACTCCTCGTCCTCCGGATGCTAGGTTGTGTCCTCCGACCGCTAGCACGGACTCCTGTTGTTCGTCCAGATCCGAGGGTGGCTGAGTGACTTCGTGTCTGACACTGAGTCGATATGCTGCTTACCTCACTATTGGCCTGCGTGTTACTATGCTGGCTTGCTTCCAACGAGACCCTGGTGAGTGTAGATTTATTGACGATTCGCGGCGGCCGACCTCGCTTACGGCCTGCTGGCTGTCTTGCTGCTAGGCTGGTCAGTTGACTGACGGTTTGGCTGCTCCCGCCGATGGCCATTCTCGAAGGCACAGGCTGCGCGGTATTCTTGGGTCTGCCACGTAGAGCAGTGGCAATTCTAGGATCAAGAATTCGTCGGTATGGATCTTGGGATGATGAATCTCGTAGTCGCCAATGTGGATGGACATCATATCTAGTGAAAGACGTTGCAGATCCCAGCTTCGCATAGACTTTATGACAACAAGGGACCCCAAGCTCGACAGAAACCGAGCAGTCGTCGTTACAGTCTGAGAGAGGATCTGGAAAGGGATTCTTCCCGGTAGGCATCGCCTTACGAGCAATACGATATTGCTTGTTTATCAACCCAAGCGCCTTCGATGAAATCACTGTTGGTAGATCACCTAGGTAGTCTCCACTTGATCCTAGATATTCACGGGCAGTAAGAACCTCATCCCGTGCGCAGGCATCCTTGAAGTCACGTTCTTGATCTTTCATCATGTCCTGCATTGCTTCGACGAGTCGATACAAGTGGCTCATGCCGTTCAAGAGATAGCTCTTGATGTTGTTGTTGCTTGCCTCTGTTCCGGAGGTGACACGGATGCTAAAGTTGTGATGCTTGCGGAGGAAGCAGCGTGCCCACTGGGCCCTAACCGGCAAATAGGTCCTATGGAGATAGCGTAGGATGACTCTTTGGTTATTAAACTTCTTGCAAAGGTCTCTCTACGCCTTCTTATGGACCTCCTCTGTTTCAGCAAAGAGTACACGCTTCCACATCATAAGAACCCCTCGGTAGGTGTGAGGAATCTCGTCAACGGTAAGCGCGTGGACCAGCTGTTTGTCCGTAAAGCTGAGCTCAGCCTGTGTCTGAGGGGCAGAATCCTCCCAGTCACTGGCGTCAGGGCTACTACTGCTCTTCCGTTTCTTAGCCCACTTCTGCTTCGATTTAAGCAGGACATTCGAGTTAATGTGATAGATGCAAAGTTGTTGCTGCACATCAGGAAACTGATCATTGAGGGCGGCCTTCATAGAGTCGTCGAAGTCGGTGATAATGACATCAGGTTGCCTAATAGAGTGCTGGTCTATAAGCTGGCGAATGCTCTCAGCGAGGAATTGGAAGCCTTCTCTTCTCTCATTGTCGATCAGGCCGAAGGCTGCGTTGAATACAGTCCCAAGACAGGTCTGACCGGTGGCTTGGAATAAGGGAAGCTTGAATCGATTAGTATTGTATGTGTTATCAAAGCTTATGACCTCGGGGAACCGCTTCCACATCTGGATGCAATAAGGAAACGTCCAGACAAGACGAAGTAGACGGTTTGGTTGGTCATCAGCCCACTTGACAAGGTAGGGAATCTCCATCTCGTCGAAGAGCTTGATTAATGCCGCAGTAGGTGTGTAGCCATTTAGCTTTTCCCGGTTGATGAGCGCGCGGGCGTTGTAGATATCCCTCTGAGTAAATGACGATTCAGGATGTTGCTCTTCGACCACGGCCCGAACATCACGAGCCCGGATGCCGACTCGACGGCTTGTTGATTCAATGGTTGCCCTTACTGGCGTAGTGAGTCGTCTATGGGAGGGGTGCGCAGACGACGTGATACTAGGTCCATGGTTATGCTGGCTGTGTTCCAAGTTTGGATGTTGTCGTAGAAGCCATTTACCCTCTTCCAGGGCTTCAGCAATTACCATCCACTTACAGCCACACTTCCGAGATTTACGCTGTCGAAGGCCTGCGCCTTTTGAAGCTCCTGGCTGTCCAAATCGATCACACTGAAGCGAGTATCTTATCCGTCGTCCTTTATATGAATAGGCATTCCTTCGAACGATGCCAAACCCGTTTTCTTTCCCGAACAAATTGACCGAGTCGAAGAGAGCTTCAGCCGATGGCGCCGGATCGCCTGGAATAGGTGGGTTAGGGATTGGGCCTGGAGAAGGTGAAGAGATTTGTTGAAAAGATAATGATTCCGGTGATTCGGCCCTTGGTGATACTTGAAGAATCTGTGTAGGTGACTTGCGCGGTGGAGAGTATGGTGGAGGAGATTCGTAGGCGTCTGAGCTGAGCGGTGACCAACCCCATCGCTCTCGCCATGCACGCACTCGTTCATATGACCGAGCAAGGTCAATAGTCAGTCTCTGGCCTTCACCAACAACCTGCCGTACAATTTTCATAGCAGATTCGAACTCAGCTCTTGTTGCGGTCGATGGCCGTTAGGCTGGCTCTGGTGGGGAGGAGAAAGGTGGAGGGTCGATTTCGGGACCTGGAATAGGGACCCTGACTCGCTGAAGTCGTGTCCTCCCTGGTGGAAACTCATTTAGAAGGTGAATCTCGTAATCAAACCGCAGATCCCACGAAGGTTCGTGGAGGCCCTGCGAGCCGTGGGGCAGTGGGAAGGTCGAAAAAGTCTGTGGATAAGAAGCAAAGAGATTGCTTAGCGTGTCTTCGTCGCCTATTCCATAGTATTGGCCGATGCTTGCTGCGGAACTGCTTGCAGAGTTCGGTCGATTTACGGGTGAAGGAGGGCTAAAACTGGCTTGTCGGCTTGTTCGCTGTCGTTTTTCACGGTGTATTTGATTGCTAGGGCTTAAGCTTCGCGGCCTATGAAGGCCTATACGTCGTTCCACTGCAGGGGAAGACATTATGGAAGTGATAACAGATATGAGGTCAAGACGTGGGAACGCGCCTAGAGTTATTACGGCTGGTTCGGAGCTAAGGTCGAAAAAATGTGGAGAGCTAAAGCTGTAGTACTTTTAGTGCAGGGGGCAGAATCCATAATCTACTAACAATTAAAAATTTAGCGAATCAAAGCCCGTGAAAGTCATGCCGCTGTAAGGTCATGCCTCCGTATCAGAACCGTCATGCCGCTCTATCAATTCCCATATAGAAATACATTTTTTCTGTCTTAGATCTATCTTGCTGTTGTATTATAGGGTTAAACTCAATGACCTTAAAAGCCGCCATAGAACAGATTGCGGTTAAGCATTACATTTTCCTATTCTTAACTAGTAAGCTTTTAGTGTAGCCTAAGACCTCACTGTCTCAAGTGAAGTCAGTAAATCCAATATAAAGCAACAATAGAGTTCCAATTTATAGATAACTATAACCCCACCATGCTATATCAATGTTGCCTATAAGTGTAACATACATAAAAATACTGACAGCAGCAAAAGGCGAAACAATATATTGAGACTATAAATCATAAGGCTGAGTTATCTCAGATAGCCCGAGGAGAATGTGCAGATAGGACAAGTGAATGGTTTGTTGGCTGACGCTGGAGAGTTTAGACTTAATATAATCTCTTCCAGGGGACTCTCTATTGCCGCAATTCAGGAGGATAATGAACTGAGCACAATCGACACTGGGCCAGCCTATTACGACAAGGAACCAGCTGACGCCTATAGTGCCGAAGAGCGCGAAGATCAAATAGAGTCTGGGAGTCCAGGGGTTTTTATTAAAGTGTAAGCAGATCTTCCTTATGACAACATCTAGAGTGATTTATAATACACTACACATAGGTTTATGGTCTGATAAGTTCCAGGATGCAACTTAGCTCAAAATGCTCAGCCGGAGGAAGGGAAGCACGTGCATGCGTACTCAGCCCCTCCCGTTGAAGATGTGCTGTGCTTGGTACGGTCGATGGCCGAGGCCGGCTTTGGCTGCCGGTTTGTCTTGGCCTTGGAGTTTTTGTTGACAGTTATCATAACCTTTCCTGTTATGAACCTTCAAATCCGTTGCTTTTTAGTTATTTCTGTGGACTGTAAGACCGTTTATCACAGAGGAGTTGACCCCCAAAGGATCTAGATCTATGGCAATTCTAACCTCCTCGGAAATACACGTCACACACAGTAAAGGGATTATTGAGTATCTTTCTAATAACGGACTCAAAGTAATATTACCTAGGGCTATGAATGAAGATGAGTTCAATAGCGTTATAGATATCTAAAAGGATAGTATAATAAGAATGTAAAAGAGTATAATGAAGGTTGTTAGTTTTTTTAAGCTGTAAATAGAGAGCTCATTGGAGTTTTATAACATATTGCATCATAGTATACTTCTTATTTAAAACTACATGAGAACTGTTTATTAAATTTAAATACAGATCCCTCTTCTACCAGTTGGACGCCTACAGATGTGACAATTAGTATACGTATGACAAGTAGTGTCATAAAAGCAGCGAGGGTGACTGCATTGGCGGTAGGGTCCAGGAATCTCCACATCTCGCCTGTTTGAAGTCTCTGTCTCTGCTTCGACCTCCATATCATTCTTTTCCAACTCTTTAATCAAGTCTTCAATCTGTTTGGTCATTTCCTCATCTGTCGCAAGAACAATTTTTCCATCGACTTCAATTACATTGCCACCATACTTTTCAACCAATGCTGTGTCGGGGTATTTTGCGCCCATTTCATGAAGCTGATCCCAGTTTGTGACCCAGATAGCATCTTTGGGAATCTCAACCGTGTACGTGGCGCTCACAAAGCTACCAGTAAGTAGGACTGTGAGGAAGGAGGATCCTGGCTACTTATCAGACTTTGACTCTAGCTTCACCACGGTGAATAGGCATGACTATACCAGTCTTCATATTGATAGAAGATAACGAGACGCTTTTGCGATTATTTAACACGATAACTCTGAGTAGATGAGCTGTGTAGATATGTCGAGCATCAAGTAGGATACCCTTTACGTCTTGCAGCTTTTATACCTGAAATTCAAAGTCAGTCACATGCTAGAAGCTGCGTAGATGTCATATCATGGCTGTTGGTTGACAATAGTCAGAGTTTACGAGAAATGAGAACCAACATGCATAAATCTCTCCTTATAGGAAGGCTCCGTTAGAACAATGGTTACCGCTATTTGAATTAGGCACGTTGTTGCAAGGAAGACTCTATGACAATTCACTGGACCATTTTGCCGGACAAAGGCCTATAGATTAGTCTAACTTTTACTTTAAACTTATTTTATACTGGCCCGTAGTGAACCTTTTGATTTAATATGGTAGCGCCAGTATTACTATAACAAGAGGGTGCCACAATTAAGCCGTGCAAAGATGCAAGCGATGCCTCCAGTACCCTCGTGCGGTTGTGAAACGCGGATCTAGCGGATCAGGTTCGGAACTCGGCACGCCAAGTTGGTTAAGACGTTCGGTTTTGTGGGTAAAGTGCATATGCATGTTGGTTGTTATCTTCGGATTCGGAATGTAATTTGATTCAAATTTGCCGGGAGCCGAGCGTAATGGGACTTTTGAAGAGTTACTTCGTATACAAGCTTACGAATCTTTTAGTTTGTCGAGCCATCTCTTCATAACTGGTTAATTGGCTATGTATGTACTGTCATAGACAAGCCTTCGACCCGTGGGTCGAAGCGAATCTCTCGAGTCAACACGGTATTTGCTTTGATACGGGCCGAAGGTGCTTATGGGGAAGGCGCAGCAGTTCTAGAACTTGCTAGTTCAACCAATTAAAAGGATCGAGCTCCAACTCGTGACCATCACATGTCATCATAACTGGATGCGGCTTATTTAAAGATAAGCCCACTGCCATGTTGGGTCTTTATCTCTTAAAACTCATCGCCAGTCAACATTCGACGAGAACTTCTCCAATTATGTCTCAATCTTGTTCTAAGCATGAAGAGCTTGCTCATCCCGAGCCAACTTGCCCCGGCACTGCATATAAAGACCTTTCGCCAGAACAACAAGAAATGAGCGACATTCTATATAAAATGGAGCGCCATTCCCCAGACCTATTAGGCATTGTACACCTTGGCCGTGACGGGATTTTCCGCTATCTGGACGCTGATCGCAATATCCACTATGCAGTTGCTTTAAGGCCTGCATTGATAAAAGCTTTATTAGACCGCGGCCCTTATGATAGGGAGGAAGAGATGGTCTTTCGCGGAGTTGATGGAACAAAAGTTCCTAAAGAACAGTGGTACAATCCACCCCCGGGTATCCTTCCGCCACCACTATCTGAGGAGCATCGGAAAGAGGGCCGAGAGCTTATTGAGAAGAACAAAGAGAAGTTTGACAAGATTCGTGAAGATTCGAAGAATTATAAGGAACGCCTTGTGTTTATAGAGTCAGATCATAAGCTTGAATAGATATCCTTGAGTCTCGCCAGTTGAGAGACTTATACTTGTACTTTGACTTGGACATAATTTGTCCAAGAATTGGGCATCTATGATTCCAAAAGTGGACTCCCAGCCTCGCTCAGCCCCTTTCTCAGTCCATATCCCAAGACCTCAGTTAGTATTCAGCTTCTCGGTTGAACGTCCAAGGGGACCAGCAGGATTCACAGTCTCACGGCCTGAGAATAATCCTGTTCATACACCACTCGAAAAGCTTGAAATTTATAATGGTTGGAGGGGTCCGGGTTGACCTCTACGTTCAAAATAGAAGGAGAAAACAGATTTTGACACATTATGTCTCAGCCATGCTAATGCACGAAGTAAAAAGTACACTAGAATATAGGAAGAGCCTTTGTCAATTGACTTATTTCAATGAATTGCATTTTACTCATTTGAAGCGATCTGTATCGGCCAAAAAGACCCATCACCAAACTTGTATAGGGTAAGCCGCTGGTAAATCGGGCTGTCTCCCCTGCCTCGTAGCAACCAATCAGAGGCTGTTTAAAGTGTCCGGCATCCCTGCTGCTCCTTCGCGAGCCAATGAAAGCATGTTTAAAGTGAAAGTACCCCTGCAAATATCCACTGGCGACTTCCTGACTGATTATCCACTGAGCGTGCTTAAAGGGTTAAAGTGAATGTGATAAGTAGCAGCAAATGTGTTGATTGACCCTGCTCCGGCATAATTAAGTAGTTAGTGGTGTATGATATTCCCATCCAATGTCACGAATCCGTCAATCCATCGCCGCCCCTTTCATAGGAATGCACGTCTATACTTCCGCCATGTACCGACTCTGTCTTGAAGTCCATGCATTCGTCCTCTCATCATTACCCTCCCAATCCGCCTTGATCAACCAGAACAGGGCCATTAACGGTGTCGTGAGTAACCCCCGAACGCCACCAAGAATAACCTTGAAAACTTGTGGTGTCCACCGATCTTGATGTCTCCAATCCCCACCATCGCGTTCTCCAACGGTCGTTAAAACCGCCACGCTCAGGGGCCAGAGAATAAAGAAGCCCAAGACAGCGAGTGTAAAGCCCCTCAGCGCCCCTTGCACGATTGTCGTAAGTACAGGAGGGAGCTTGGATTCCGGTTGAGGCTCTTTCTCCTCTACTTCTGAGTCGCCTGGATCAGAGGCTGGTGGGAGAAAGAATAGCCATCGAAGCCACTGACACAATGGTTCTCGAATAAAGCCAATCGGCTGGACAGACCGTTTCGAAAGGTCATAACTGACAAGTCCCATCTCAACGAACCACGTGAGAATGCATTGGACAATAATAGTTACAGCTGCATCACCTGATAATGTGTTTGGCAGTTGAAACAACCGAATTGGGTTCTTGACGGTATCTTGCGTAGTGTACATGCCTATCCATTCTCATTAGTCTTCATCTCAAATGCCAGCTGCAAACTCACCATAAGCCAGAGCAAAATTCACACCCCCGGATAAAGCCATAGCGCCTATACCATCAAGACCAAAAACATAGAATAGCTGATGACCCGTAAGCTGTAGACTCGGCTTCAAGCGCCCCTAAATGTCACTGTCATCTCCTCTTTGTTCCTATCCCAGGCCGCCCAGGTTGTCAGGTTTCAGGATCCCGCTAGACACCTGCACATTCGGCCCCTGTGTCTCAAGTTGCGCCGCAGTAAGCATATCTTTTCCCTAGGGAGAACAACGCCTGCAAACTTGTTTGGTTTGTCTTTTTCTTTCGTCTTGGGAAATTTTAATTAAAGGTTGCCAAGTGCTTAAAGGGGAATTCGGGAAATTAAGCGAGAAAGTCGCCAAAAGCTTGGACTTTTAGACGGCAAAAAAACAAAAGTCTGTTAGCGAAAAAGAGAGAATGCGAATACTAATCCGAGATTTACAATACCACTTTGTTGAAAATTTGTTCACATGGCACCATTTTACACCGCTATCTCATGGGCTGTCACTCGATTCTATGGCACTTGTTGAGAGTCGGTAGTTGAAGGTTTTCCGACACTAGAAAAGCATAAAAACACACTATTTCCCTAAAGTTTATCACTCTCGGGTGGATGAACTGTTTGGGGTTAGCGTCATTGTGAAGCTCTTACGGTTTCACCGCGGAATACCACCACGATCGGTTCAATCGGCCCAAGAAGACGGCGTGCAACGCACAGCTGACCTGTCAAGACGGAATTGATTGACGCCACCTGAGAATCTCGGTCTTTTGTCTATGTTCGGATAATTCATCCGTTGATTTAATCTGTCCAGCGGTTAATAGATTCATCTTCATTCGTCTAGACTCTAGATATCTTGAAAGCGACGTAAGGAGCCATCGTCTCAGGATGATTGACCCAAAGCTTGGGCCTGCAAGGGACTTGAGATGGGGACTTGCAGAAAAATAAACACCAGTGACATGATCCCTGCAGCGCTAAAGCAGGAACAAAGAACGCTTGTGTTTTTTCATCTTGTCGTCTCCCCGCGGTTTCAGGCACAGAGGTTCGTTGGCCGAGATGGCCAGCACAGCTCGCTAGCAAGAAAGGCATTTCACTTCGCTTGGGATGGCGTTGGCAGTTTTCAACTGAAATGACCGTATATTCATTTCTTGACAATAATCAATCTTACCCTAGGCCTCTACAGACTATCGTGAAGACCTAGATACTAGCCTCTAATATACTGTCGGTAAAATGCTACTCTAAACTTAATTACTATTAAAAACACTTCAACATGTGCATGGTCTGCTCATATCTCGATTAATTATATCTATAGTGCTATAGGGGCTGAAACCGCCTTGACTAACACCATGTAAACCTTCACCACCCTCATCAGCCTTATCCCTGATGGCATATCGACCCGAGCAAGACACCCCTACATCAATCTATCCAGGACAGGACCGTTCCGTTTAGCCATGGGGCTCTTTGCCCGGCAGCCCAAGTCTCCAAACATTGATATAAACCGTCTTCTTTCTCCCTCGAAGCACTCTCTTTCTCCACTCAGGCTCATTCAGCAGTTCATTCCATTCACTTTTTGCTCCTTGCACATTCTTTCACGGTTCTTTGACAGAAGTCGTTTCATTCATTCATTCACTTAAACCGCCAGTCGGATATCACCACTCTTTACAAACCAAACAAACCACCTTTCTTATACAACAACTTCTTTTTTTCCAAAATGCCTTCTTTCACCTCAAAGACTCTTCTCGCCGCCGTTGCCGGTGCCATGGGCGTTGCTGCCCACGGTCACGTTTCCCAGATCAACGTTGCTGGCACTGTCTACGAAGGCTACGATGCCCCCACTGTTCCCTACTACTCGACCCCCAAGACCCTCATCGCCTGGTCAACCACCGCTACCGACAACGGTTATGTCGCCCCTGATGCCTTCAGCTCTGCAGACATCATCTGCCACCGCGGTACTAAGAACGCCAAGGGCCACGCCAAGGTCAAGGCCGGTGACCAGATCTACATCAAGTGGACCAACTGGCTCGAGAGCCACAAGGGACCTGTCATTGACATGTTGGCCTCTTGCGGTTCTGCCGGCTGAGACCGTCGACAAGGAGACCCTCAAGTTCTTCAAGATCGACGAGGTTGGTCTCGTCAAGGCCGGTAACCCCGGTACCTACGGCTCTGACGAGCTCATTGCCAACGACAACGGCTGGCTCGTTCAGATCCCTGAGAACATCAAGGCCGGTGCCTATGTCCTCCGTCACGAGATCATTGCTCTCCATGGTGGTTTCCAAGAGAATGGTGCCCAGAACTACCCTCAGTGCTTCAACCTCGAGATCGAAGGTTCCGGCACTGAGCAGCCCGAGGGTATTCTTGGAACTGAGCTGTACAAGCCCGACGACAAGGGCATCAAGTTCGACATCTACAGCAACCCTACCAGCTATCCCATCCCCGGCCCTGCTCTGACCAAGGGTGCTGTTGAGGTCACCCAGGGCAAGCTCGCTGAGAAGTCCCAGGGTACTCCCACCACTGACTACGATTCCGGTTCTGACTCTGGCTCCGGCTCTGGCTCTGCCGCTACTCCCTCTAAGACTGAGGCTCCCGTCGCTGGTACCTCCGCTGCTGCTCCCGTTGAGACTTCCTCTGCCGCCCAGGAGCCTTCCACTCCTGTCCAGACTTCTGCCCCTGCTGCCCCTAAACCCATCAAGACTGGCTGCAAGTCTAAGCACAGCAGCAAGAAGGCTCGCCGTCACGCTCGTGACCTCATGAACTAAGCAGCCCGCTGAGCGAGGTTGTGTATGAAAGGTTTTTACAAGGATCAAAAGCCTGTCTATCCTGAATGGGATGAATCTTTGAGTATTATGCTGTATATATATGTGACCTCGAGTCCGATATTATTCAATTACATTGATTGTCATTCATGACATATTATTGGGAGCATGGGTCAAAGGAAGTTGAAGGGCGGCCGCTCTTAGTTTCATAATAGCTTGTAAACCACAATAATAACACCACGCTAGTCATACTCTGTAGATATCTTAACCTAGATACTTGGCATCTGCTTCCTCAACCACCTGCTTCGTATCCAGCTCATCTGAGTAGAGACCATCCGGCGCATCGCCAAAGATGACAGAGATCTCCTCAAGCGTACGGCCACGAGTCTCGCGATAGAAAAAGAAGATTACAAGGCCATAAGATAAGAGAAGGGCCACATAGACAATATAGTACTTCCAACCAATGGCTGATAAAGCAATTGGGTTGACAAACACGTTGAAAATGAGTGCCAAGATCATGATCATCCACGCTACAGAGAGACCGCGACTGCGTAGCTGGAATGGCCAGAGCTCAAGAGGGTACGCAACCTGAAGAGGGGTTCTACCGAGAACTGCGTCAGTGACACGGTTTAGGATGTAGGCAAGCAGAGTGGGCTTACACTGCAACAGCGTAACCAGCATTAAAGAGAAACACGAATGGAATCATGGTAAGTCCAACTGATTGCGATCCAGTCTGCGCAAAGCTTCCTGACATAGCTGTAATCAGAATAAAGCTAATAAGCATAATCGCACAAGAGATCATGAGAAGAAGTCGTCGTCCTGGTCGCTCAACGCATAAGGCACAGCGCATGCTGCAATGAAACCCCAGATCTGGAGACAACCCATGATCAGGGTCTGGACTGTGACGCTAGTGATGCCTACTGTAGCTAGAACGGTAGAGAGATAGTAGCTGACGACTCCATTGCCAACCCATTGACTGTAGATTGCTAATGATGCAGTGATGAAGAGGCGGCGACGATGTGCTGGTGTAGAGACGAGTGATGCATAGGAGCTTGACTGCTTGGCTTGTTTCTCGGATTCAATGGCAGTGGTGATTTCGTAGAGCTCAAGCCGACAAGAGGATGGTTCGAATCACCGCCCTATTGTAACAAGGGCTCGTTGTAATGTGCCGAATTACACAGAATCTGGCCCGTGCACGCATCGAGGTCCTTCCAAATAAGGGATAGATCAGCTTAACCCCCCACTTATTCTTCATTCTGATTGCAAGTTCCCAACTATGCACGTTAACAAGATCTCCCCTATTGGCCTTCATCGCGGTAGAACGCCAATAACGCAAGAATCGGTACCACTCCTCAAATCATATCCTTACAGGTTTAGTTAAGTGGCCCTGCTCGAATGATACTAAATTGTTGAGCACGAGGAGAGTTGGCTCCAAGCAATTGGAGATGTAGAATGGTAAAATAGCTGTGCAATTTTTCGCCCGAATCCTGTGTGGCACCTGTTGAGCTGAGTTGATCGAATGGTTTGCATCGGCTGCCTAGCCTATACTAAAGCGCTCTAGCGAATTAGAAGACTAAATGACCATCTTGGTGTTGATTGAGTTATGTTTCTTGGGACTATACAATGTAAAAAAAAGAAGTGACCCCGAAATCATGAAAATATGCGTTCGGCATAATGCCTCACTTCGTTGCGCAGAGGAGCCAAAGATACGAAACAGGCACAAATTCCCCTAGCATTTACATAGATCGCAGCGTTACAGCTTGCGTGGCGGCGGCGAGAGGACGTGAGTTTGTCGTTAAGCTGCTTCTGGACATAGGTGAAGTCGATGTTAATGCCCAAGATAGGGATGGATAGGCGCGTAAGATTGTCCAAAGAATCATGAGCACGAGAAAAAGCTCTCTCCAGAGCGTGAAAAGGAACCCCCGAGGCTAGCAGTCAAGTCAGAGAAACATCACAGCATAAAGAATTGGCTACGTCGCACTAAGCGGCATAGTGGATACTGGGCTATCTAATTGGCCTCACTGATGAGGCTTTCAGCGCTCCAAATTCCTGTTGTCTTGCAGTTCGAACTAGAATAATTCATAGTGACGCAATCATTCGGGGCTGGGCTGACGTGGATGTCTGAATCCCGCTGTGAGAAGGTGCCGTGGCTTGAGGTCTAGAATCTCGATCCCTATTTTTAGGGTTTTCAATACCGAGCCACATCGATGCTACAGCCCTATCAAGTATTGAAGGGGTGTGCTGCCAAGCCACCGGGCTGTCAACAGCAGGGTCAAGCCGCAAAAGTGTTGAGCCTCACCAGGCTATTCCTAGAAGAGCCTGGTCTGCTTAAAGTGTATGTCTCGTCTATCGACCCTGGCCTAACTAGTATGGCTGAAGCCCCTTCTCAATGTCCTCCCCGCTCTCTGATAGGCTAGGACGCAGCCGCACAGGTCTTGTGTGGTCGGATCATGCGGTCCACGGGCTCCAGTTGTCATATTGCTGCTAGAGGTGTAAGTGATATCCTTTAGATTAAAATAATCTCGTTGTACTTATCTGTCGATTCAAAAGTGTATATAACGGTCGTCAAGGTCCTAGCAAAATTCCCAATTCTCACCAGCATCGCTACTATCAATCACTTACTTAACAAAACAAAACAACTCAACCGCATCTATCTTCACTCATCAGATTAAGCCTCTCGATAAAATGCATTTCACCGCCGCTGCCCTCTCTGCCCTCCTCGCCTCCGCTGCCTTAGCCGTTCCCCTCAACTCCACTCCTTACGACAACCCAGACAGCAACATCTTCCCAGACTTTGACCGCTACTCGGACTGGGCGATCTGCAAGGGCAAGATCACCAAGGACCGCTTCCCCAACCTTCAGGCTCCCAATCGTGAGGGCGGCTGCGTCCGCTACTATCAAGGTATCGACATGACAGGCGTCGTCACAGAGCAACACTTCTTCTTCAAGGACGGCTTCAAGACCGCTTGCGACTGCGCCGCTAAGTGTTTAGAGGAACCTAATAAGTGCACAAACTGGGTGTGGAAGCATACCTTCATGCCGGAGGATGGTGGCAAGCGGTCGTGCACTCTGTACAGCAGTCCGAACCTGCCGACTGACGTGACGCTTAAGTACGACTTAGCGAACAGTAAGGGCTTCAACCTGTTGCAGGCTGCGAATAACCCGCAGGCTGGAGCTCCCGCGCCGTTGACTTTCCTGGACGCGGCTGGAACGATCCCTGACAAGTTTGGCGTGTCTGGCTTCATGGTGCAGGATCAGAATGGCAGACAGTTCTGTTAATGGGCTCGTTATCCATGGGATTGTGTCGGTGTTCGGATTGGCTTGAAGAGAGGGTTTAGATAGGTATGATATATCGTTTTTGATTTCGATTTTTACCTGTATGCTTAACTGTCATTCCTTAATATTCCGTCAGTCCTTGATGAACTACCCTAAGTTACGAACAAGGGGTACTAGGCGCGTTTTAAACAGGAGGTATAGGCAACATATAGCCACAAGGAAGAGATAGACATTACTGATATAGAATAAGAAGAGAGAGTCAGTGGAGTTTATAGATGAATTCATATAGTCGTATTAGTTATTTGGTAGCGTTGCAATTGAGTTGAAGTTTAGCCTTAGATTGAGTGTTGTGGCTAGAAGTGGATCACATTAATAGGGGTTAGTCTACTTCATTATCACAGAAGGATTAAAACCCCAGATCTAAAAGGACACACTGAGAGCCACACATTACAGTGGCGTGCTGTTGGTATCTCAATATTGCTCCATTGAAGTCACATTTACTTAGACATTACATTATTTGATATCTAGATAGTAGTCGAGAGAGTTAGATTATTACATTACCATGGGCTTGACTACCAGCCCAGTTGTTTAGATGAAGTCCTACTAGACGATGTAACTCAGTACTTCCATCATGTCGAATCCCATACTCGTCAGCATCCCTCAGAATGTCATCAATATAATCACCCGCCGCAGAGAGGTGTAGGATGTGGGCGATAGCACAGTGAATTGCTAGCAGTCGCGACGAAGGAGGATCGATGTTCCTCTCTTCAGTGAGAAAAAGCGTCCGAGTAACAGGAACATCATACGTGAACCCTTGGGGGAGAAAGGTTTCAATATGGTACCTGTGTGGAACTGTACCCTCAGGCTTGAAAAAGATATTGAAATCACCAAAGTATGTGTGCAGAGGCTGAGTCAGCGTCAAAGCGTTTCCTGGACGATCAATCTCAATTCCCTCGATCAGATGAGCGGCTCCGTCGTCGAACATATTAAGTATCGCCAGCGCTGCTTCTTTCGAGGCGTTCTGGGATAGATATATTAGCGGTTGTGATCAAAAAGGGTCCTAGAGACTCTCACCAGTTCTCCGCGAGAGTCAAGTTGCGTTAATGAGTGTGGCAAGATGTGTGCCACCTCGAGGGGTTCAAACTGTTGCCCTGCTAGAGGCTGGCCATCTTGGTCGCATGCCTCACCTTGACCACGCCTTTGCAAACCGAATCGTTTCAAGGCCTCCGCCTGGTCAAATTTATGTGATATAACACACCGATAGCGATCTCGTATTAGACAGGCTCCTCTTAGATTGGCGATTCGCTCTGGAGTCCCTGCGAAGATATGTCCTTGGCGTTGCGTACTCGTAACGGCTGAATGAGATGCCGGTGAAGGCTGGGGTGTTTTTTTGGTTGATGCTTTGAGTGGTAGAAAGAAATTATCAAAAAGATAATCGGCAAAGTTATCGAGGGAAGCTCGGAGTTCATCTTGACGGGTGGGGTCTTCAAAGCTGATGTCTTCATCTGCGGTTATTGACAGTCCTGCAAACGCAAAGAAAGCAGCCAGTAATCTATCTTTAGACTTCTCGCTTGTCGAGTGGTCATATGTTAGGCTGACCAGTTTGACGCGGTCGTACTTGTCGCGACCTGGTCTAATGCCTTCGCTTTCAAAGTGGTTGATGATTTGGTCAAACCGGCGCTTAGCAGAGGCGCGGTGAGCTGGATCCAGAGGAGGCTGCGATGAAAAGTCCAAGATTCCTTCGAGGGAAGACTGGTGGCGATGGAGTGCTGATGCAGGTGCAGGTGGCGCCATTTTGTTGTTGACGCTGAAAGTTGTGAAGTTGACAACGTGAAATGTTGGTCGACGGGGGTTAAACTGACTTGGGTGGGCGGTGAACATGATAAGATAAGAAAGTGGCAGAATTTTAGGGCCATAGGACATGCGAATCAGGCTCCCCCCAGGCTTGAGTCCTGGGGGACTTGACGAAATTCACGCGGGTAGTCGACAGAGGCATTTTATTTTGTCAAAATTCAACCACAACGATGCATCTAGCGATATGTATATAAAACGATAGAGAATAAATTAATTAATTGATCAATCTCCATAGAGCCATTTTTTATTCATCGTTGGCTAAAAAACACGGAAAAGAAAGCATCTAACTCGGTGTCGAGACGAAAGCATGGTCTGAGCTCAGAGGCTGCTTACGAAATATCGTTACACCCTGGTCGCTTGGTCCAGGACTCAAACCAATGAAAGGAGGGCTTGGACCGGACGGTATCCTTGTCGACTCCACAGTGGTTTCCTGAAACAGCTAGCTGAACTGAGTATAAACAGGGGTAGTTCGATACACTGATCGTCTATCAAAACTTTGGCCAATGATAGCATGGATTGGACCGGACGGTATCCTGGTAGGCTCCATAACGATATCCTAAACAAGGTAAGTCTTTGTTTTGCCCATAGAACTGGCCGAGCGAGTAGCCAAGCAAGCACTGTCGAGACTAAACGACCGGATAGTTGCAAACATCATTGTATTACGCACAAGCTAGACTTTTTCACCCTACATAGGATGAATCCAAGATGCTATACATATGATTTTGAGAGGCCACTTGGTTCATTAAGAGATTATCATGTATCCTTCGTCACCGAGTTTACTTTTCCACCGCGATCGCTTGTCGCGATTGTTCTTTGCTCCTACCCTAGACTGCCGTATTCGATCTGGCGGCCCTGAAATAACAAGCGCTGGGATGATCTCATATTTGCTTTTTCCTCATGAGCTTGCAAACTCTCTTAGCAGGCGCTTCCATCCCTCCGAACCAATAATTGTTTCTCAGCCCTGTTAGCCCATCCAATTATGTGCTGAGTTCCAAAATTAAGCTCGCCCCTTTATCAGGCATATTGAAGAAAACGCGTCGCAGCGACGCGTGGAGAGGGTAACGATGATGAAGCCGACCGAAACACCGCCAGAACTAGAAAAAAGGCTTGACGAACCTGTCTGCCTTCATCTTCGCGAAAACTTTTGCGTCCCGAGATCATGCCCCCTCCATCGGTTTCGGTCGAGTCTAAGAAGCAGAAAGAAAGGGATCGTGGTAGAAAACGGCGCCAACAGTTGCGTCGGCAGGGTCAAGCGCGACAACTCCGAGAAGTTGACAGCCATGAAACCATCCGGCTAGTGAGCCAGGTCCAAGACATGGAGGATGGTGTTGACAATCGTGAGTTGGACTCATCAACCTAAGATACGTCTTCCCATCATTGAACTCACGGTCCTGCATTCTGACAGGTCGTTCACACGAGCAGTTCCATCGAGGCCATCCTGCCGCCTCGTCAGACAACATTCAACACCTCCTACCAGAGATCTCTACTGTTCACGATTCCTCCATTAGCAGCCATACTTCTCTACGAATTTGTTCCCCCACAGCCGCGCCATGGGACGCTCCGGTGGCGCGTTCTCCGAGAGATGCAAGACAAACGAGTGATGCGTCCGCGGCCGACATTATTTATACAAGCGCGAGAGAACCATTGACAGAAGCACTGTCCGAGGCTGTAGCTACTGCTGTGACAGGTCTTGCGGACGCGGGCGAAGATGCGCGAACACCAGCGGGCCGTCCACGAAGAGATCCAGCCTTGTCGGAACGTGAACTCACTCGACGCCGCGTTCGAGCCTATCGTGCCCGTCAACATCCGTCAAGGATGCCACAGACTGCGCAGTCCCGGAATGATGATATTTCGTCAAATTGGGTCAATTCAGAAAACCTGTGTTCCGCTCAGGGTGATCAGCATTTTGTACACGATGATCCGAATATGCCTGTTGATTCCCATCAGGGTGATGACGCGCAACATGCGGCAAGGGATTGGAACCAAATTAGTCCCAACTCTCCGGTTTCTTCTGCAACCTCGGACTTAGGTCTCGATCCGTTAAATACTGACCATTTCTACCCCATCTCCGGCGATGATTCCCGCTCGCTTTCGCCCGATCGCTCGATAAGGGAGCGCCCAACGTCCCCAATCGGTGTCGCCGACCGAGTACCGGAAGATCTTCCTTACCTCAGTCGCTTTATTGAAGCTCTTCGAGCTCAGGAGACACGGAGTGGTCTTGAATTTCTTGAATCGCAAATCACAACGTATGATCGTATTATTCAAACACTATTTACTGCTGAGTGTCACTGTAAGTCCGTCCCTCTACCGCATTGTATGCGCTTGACCCCATTATCTGACGGGAGGCTTCCTCAGGTCCAGGTTTGCATGAGATTCATGATCATGCCCGGGCTCATAGTCTTCAAGAAAGGGCCCAGCTCCTTCAAAATTCATTGCCACCGCTCACGACTATCTTGGACGAACGTTTTGCCCGTGAAGCCACCAAATACCTTCACCAATGGAAGGATTTTCTTTCCGACGAACCTGCTGAGCCTTTGTCTTTTCGCTTGAGAGAGCACCACAGTGTTGTAATAGTTCTTAGGAATGCAAATCATTCTAGATCCTGTGATAAAGCCTCTCTAAATCGTAGAGGTAGCCCTACAGACCATTTCATGAAACAGTATTGCAGTTGCGGTTTGTCGAGTTATTGAAGGGCGCCTTTGACATCAGGTACGTTATCTGATCTAACACTTGACCCAACTGTACATTCTTGCGCTACTCATTTAGCTTAAATACCTGAATTATCTTATCATTGAAGCCCAGGCTCTGGCCTAGAATCAGATACATGTTTCAATTCTCTGCTTGACCACCCAAACCCGCACTCAAATATTTATAACCTTACATGAAGCACTTTTACCTTCCCGGAGACCAATCTAATTCACATGACAGGCACATTCGGTTGAGAATTTAGACACTGTAATACCTGACCCTGTGTTCTGGTCTATGCTAGAGTGCAGCACAACTCACGAGAAGTAACAACTCAGCCATAGTACCTCACTCTTCTTCCGGCCCAGGTCCATTTGAGACCCCAAATGCACCGCTAATTCCCCAATTAATCAGGACAGCTTCAAGCATGGTGGCAGCATTCGACTCTCCGTAAATATCCAGACCAGCCAGCTTTCCCTTCCACTTCTCGTTTGTTACGTTGTTCGCCCAACCTGATAGCATGGTGTTGACGGTGTCCACCACGAGCCAGCTATTCCCTGGAAAGGCCCCAGCAACCGCACCCTGGACGGCGGGTGCATACAACGTACTGTTCGGGTTCTTTGAAAGATTCATGGCCTCCACGCAGGCGTCGAAGAGATCGTTGACATATGCCTGGCTAGTGAGAACATCTTCGCGTGTACCAGTTCGGTCAAGATGGCCACCGATGTAATGCTTGAAGTCGTACGTCAAGATCTGCTTGTGTGCCATGACGTAGCCTGGAACGTTCTGGGCTACGCCGAGCTCGTAATACGGAACCCAACCAGGATAGACAATATCGACAAGCATGATGATTTTTTGCAACGGGGCCCAGATGAAGATGTTGCCCGGTTCGTGATTACTTCCCATGTAGTTGAGTTCAAGTGTCTGGTTGCAGACCTGGAGCTTGTACGAGTCCTGGAAGGTGATGGATGGAGGTGGTCTATGCTTGTCCGGGGTCATCGCCAGCTGATCCGCTGTCTGTCGATGGGCCACGAAGGTGACATTTTCAGGGGTCCCCAACACATAGGCAGCACCGATGTGGTCCGCATGCGAATGGCTGTACACAACGTGTGAAATCGGCAAAGACGTAACATTCCGGATGGCGTTAAGCATATTGTAGCCAATCGATGGGGGATTGTATACTACAATAACACTTTCGCAACTGACGAGAAACATCGCCTGGTAGATCCCGTCAGTGACCATGTAGGCACCATCTCCCAGGTCTTGAAGGCGATATCCAGGTGGGTTTGGAACAGGTGGTCCAATTGCACCAGTGGGAATAGGATCATAAGATGTCCCAAGACTGTAGGGAGGTGTCCCAGTGGCCAAGGAGATCACTGTGCCTAGTAATGACAAGTTGAGAAATCTCAGGAGGAGATTGGTGTGTCGCATCGTGGTCTGGAGAGAAATCTTGCGTTCGTAATACGGTAGAAGGTTGCGGCAATGCGTAATGAAATAAAGTACTCTAATGTGAAGAGTAAAAACATCATATTTAGTCGACAAGTGTCTGGCTTTAAATATCCTCAACTACAACGTCGGTCAACCTTTGCCTGCTATTAACACCGCGATATCCGTTCTTCCTTACAAAGCAGACATATCACGCTAGTTCGAAGTGGTGGAGTCTGACTGTGGACATCTCGCTGTGCTAACCTAATTGTGCTTGGCGTAGGAGCATTCTAGATACCCTGCACAGTAAGCCTAAACCCCTAGGCTCTTACATATGCAAGGCTGAGCTCCCAGTTAAACCAGGGGATAAGAGCCACTCGATGGTTCATAATTTAGGCTAATGGGAAGTCCACTATAGCCCTGCTAGCAAGGCATTCTTGGAGGGTGAAATTTGACCTCCTTTCACGTCTATCTGACGGGGGCATATTAGTCTTTTAGTACGCGCTGCACAACTATTTCGATCGGTATTGATAGCAGCAAATTTTAATTTTCTCATCATATCCCTATTTAGGTACTCCCCGCAATTCTAGCCTTAACTTCTCCGCCGAGATCTTCCACTGCTGAATTTCCATTGCTTTGGCAGCATTCTCCAAAATGTCCAATAAACATTCACGAACGCGCGGTTCAATAAACTCACAGTTGGCAGCAAAGTAGACGGACCATTGCAGCGGACATCCATGCATATATGGCACCGCCTGAGAGTCTGGCTGTGTTTCCTGAAAGACGGGTGCGTGCCGTGCATAACTACCATAACCGGGGTTATGGCTACTCCCGAGAGCAGCAGGCGGTCGCGGCACTGCTGCGATTGTATCAACGGCGACTTGGTTAATGATGTAGGCTGCATTGTTCAGAAATGCTTGGGCCTGGTCATCAAGGCACACTTGGCTCGGCAGACGCTTCGCGATTCTGGCGACGACCGTGCATAGTATGACGACCGCAGTGCGGTAGCCGTTCCACAGCTGTGTAGCTAATTGGGTTTGGTAGACGTGTTCATGGTCAACCAGGCTGCTAAATCTCGCGCTGGGGATTCTGTCATACTGCCAAGCAGCGTCCGCGCCGCTGAATACCGCCTGTAATTCCTCGTAGACGTTCAGAGCATCTACTATGATGTGCTGGATTTCTTGGTCCTCCAACTGTGAGACATCCGTACGGGTCGCCGCGGCAAAGTCGGTAATCCGAAACATAGCTCCCTGATATTTCCAAAGTGGATGAGCTGGGTCTACAAGAAGCGGGTTTGTCGCATTACGAAGGCGGTGAAGGTCCTCAGGTATCCGCTGTCCTGATAGAATACAAACGGTTGTCATGTAACTGGAAGTTTGGAAGAATAGAGCGGAGCCCAGCCGACTTGTAACTTGATTGGGGCCGCGTAGCTGTAGCAAGGCGGCAGCTCCCTTGGTGTGCATTTCCCAATAGTCAAAAGACCGACTGGGGGCCGCTTTAGTCTCAATAGCGCCCATGATCATTGTGGCGAGGAGCGTGCTGTCTGTCCGTGATTCCAGTGGCGAGGCGAGGGCTGAATTGAGAAGCTGAATAGCGTCCGAATAGTCTTTCCAAACGGTTGCTGAGCCATCAGGTAAGGACCATCTCTGAAGACGTGATATGTTTCCTAGTACTTTGATGGCGGAGAATAGACAGCCATTACCCTGAGTCTGGATCTGCTCCGGCGACCACACAGCCGAGAAGTCGATACAGTAGCTGGAGTAGTGCATAGCGAGTGCGACGTCGTCTGAGTGGAGATGAAGGGGTCGCCGAATTTCCAAAGTGCGATAGGCATTGTCCCAGGTCACAGGAGCACCGTCGAGCATTTGCTGGCCCCGCGGCGTTTCCTCAACGGTTTGCCCGTCGTCTCGCCTGGGGCTGGGAGGATTCTGCGCCTGTGGCGAGCCCGTAACCAATGGTGTGCGCAGACGGAGCATAACGTCGAATCTGTCCTGATATCCAGGGCATGAAGCCCCATAGCGTTCGCAGTTCAAGCATCCCCCTATCCGCTCATCGCACTAATATTGGTCAGCGGTAGCTCCTGGTCATGGTTCACGGCCCTTGTACGTACCTTGACTCTGCGGCTTCTACAAACAAGACATCCGAAAGAGGGTTTTGGCATTTCACGCTTTATGTATGGAGAACCACACAATGTAGAGTATTAGCCGCTCGAAAAGGAAATAACGGCGACGCCTCCCTTATACCCCCTTGCCTTTCACCAGAGTCTAGGTCTTTCTATGGGCCTTACTAAATGGGGTGAAGCGAGGAGTCAGACAACGTGAAGGGACTAAGGGAGGAGACGATGATTTTGCAGTGCTCAGTGACTATGGACGAGATAAGGTAGGGCAACGTCGAAGATGAAGGAATCGCTTTGACATACTACGTAAGCAAGGATGGCGATCGAACTAGACCGCATTAGGGAAGAACGGCGAATGTCGCGGGTTGACCCCGGCGCTAAATGAAATAAGTGTATTAGACTACGACTACGGAGTACGGATACCATACCTAACCAACGTAGTTACTTGTGCGGGCTTAGCTTAGGCCGCCACAAGTACTGTTGATAATTGGACTTTGTGGTAGTAGAGCCCTAGTGCTCGCCAAGCAACTTGAGAGTTTGACTCAGTTTCATTGCCGGGTAATGCCCTGCATGCCTTCCCTTCTGCAGTCAGTAGAATAACAAATACCTCAGTGGGGATGCTGTACGCGTTGCTCGTCGCCGGGTATAAGAAGGTACGTATAGACAAAGCTCACATTGACTTGAAGAACCAGTCAATCCCGCCGACAGCTGGCAGTAACCCTTCACACTTCAATCACGATCAACGCCATGTCCGTCAAAGCATTTGCAGTCATCGCCGGGATCGGCTCAGGCACCGGCACTTGGCTTGCCCGCCGTTTTGCCAAGGCGTATCCCGTTGCACTCCTGGCCCGCAACCCAGAAAGCTACGAGGCTCTGGTGAAGGAAATCAACAGCGACGGCGGCAGAGCTATTGGCATCTCTGCCGATGTGTCGAGCGAGGCGAGCGTCAAATCTGCCTTCAAGACCATTGCCCAGGAGTATAACGACGCGCCATGCGCAGCCGCCATTTACAATGCCTCGGGCGGATTCGTGAAGAAGCCGTTTCTCGAAACTCGTGTGGAGGATCTCGGCAAAGGGTGGACGGTCACCGTGTACGATCGAACGCATGTCTGAAGTTGCTGGAGACTAGACTGACAAACTTTACAGCAAGGGCGCGCTGTTTTTCTCCCAGGCTACTATTCCTTTAATGCTCAAGCATGCCGAAGACGACTCCGCCCAATATCCTCCGACCATCATCTTCACTGGTGCAACTGCATCTGTCAAAGCCAACGCACAAATGTCGAGTTTTGCCGCCCCCAAGTGGGCACTTCGTGCCATGAGCACTAGTCTTGCAAAGGAGTTTGCGCCTAAAGGTGTACACGTGGTTCACACAGTCATTGACGGTGTAATTGACATCCCTAAGTCGCAAGACATGCTGAAGGATATGCCCTGGAATGCGAGGATCGGCCCGGAAGATATCGCAAAGACGTACTGGGATCTACATACACAGAGTCGAAGAGCTTTTACGAACGAGGTTGACATTAGACCGATGCTCGAGAAGTGGTAAATACCATGGTTTAGAAAGAAAGACAGACTTGGCCAGACTGGACGGAAAGAAGCCTGGTAGTTCGGTTACTTCTCAATGGCTCAGAGTGCAGATAATTTATTTTCGTTCCATTAGCGTTGAATGGACCCAATCAAGTTTGTACACGGTTATCCAAATAGTCTCTTTGGCCTCTTATTCGTTATTAGCACAGGTCTACCTCTCGCGAAGCAGTTAGATTCGCGGCCCGAGCCAGATACCCCACAAAGTATCTCAGCTCTGACTAAGCTCCCTTCATCTGTTCGCTTATGGCGGTGTTGGATACGCGGTACGTTTATTGAGCTCGTGATGGGGTGAATTCAATGGATCACGGAGCAGAAACTGGTGATCTTGCTGATCGAAATCTTGACAATGCCTTGTCTTTTTCTCTCATCAGAGTGCGAGGGTGTCGGTCTATTCTTAATGTTTTCACTGCCACAAGCCACACATGTTGTTGTAACGAAGGGCAAACTCCCTTCTATCTGCACACAGGCGCCAATTTAACAGGCGGAAACCCCACTCAGCCGCTCAGGTCACCTTGCATATACCTAATTAACGATTGTGCCAGTGAAAACACAATTCCCCTAGTCCTAGTCCTGGGCAAACGCTTAGCCTTCCCAATCTCGGAGGTGCGCTTCGCGTATTACTTAGCCCCGCCCTTATGACGTCGGCCGTTCGCTGCCATCAACATCATAGGATCAAATCCTCACAACCTCCTAACACCTTCGCCAAGCTCACCAGGATCTGTCTCAGCTGTAGCCGAAGAACATACGGCCTGAAAAGAATCATTTTGCGTCAGTTTTCCGGCTACAACATGGATGTGCAACCGTTACAAGATGCCTTTTCTAGGCTGAGTCTTGACAAGGATAAGCATCAAGCTGCGAGCTATTATGATATCTCTGAAGTTGAAGAGGAAACAGGCAACACGTGGGCATCTCATATCATAATCTTTTCTGTTCGGCCCAATGCTCACATATCACAGTCATTATTTGAGCTGTACAGGCAATATCCAGCGAACTCCTTTGAAATACCCATCTATTATAGAGCCATCCACTGCGAGTCACCATCAGAGGTTCAGGGAGGCCATCGAGCCAGGTTGTTTCCTCCTTTCAAATAAAGCAGGTCTTCCTCTTCTTGCTGGGGGCGGTTGAGGGCTATCGAGTGGAGAAGTTTCTCGAAGGCATTGAATTAGAACTTGAAAGTCTCTTTCCTCTAAAGATACAAGAGTTTGATCAGGCCGCTCACCAGTTAAGTCTTACCCTCGGTCGGAAGGAATTATTATCATATTATAGGAACGACTATGCGTCTATCTTAGAAGAAGACCGTCCATTTGGGGACAACGAGTCGAAGCGAAGATGGAGGAAAGCATGGTCTCTCCTAGTTAATAATCACTTCTGCCCCGATTATGAATCTTGGTGGGTTCGAAGGGAGGAGAGGGACCTTTCCGATTTGGAGGCCGAACTCATGGCGAATCACAATGGCACTGGATTGAAAAAGTGGCTGATGAAAAAGTAATCTCGAAGTTATTATGTTGGGTTTACGGATTAATCATGAAAGAACGTCCATACTGCTGGGAGGTATGTGAGGCCCTCGGCCGACTTGTCTAAATCAGCCACCGCACTGAGATTGCGTAAGCGTCGTACGGAAAAATTTAGTACCCTTCTCTGTGCCTACCCTATATCAAATCTTGTTCCTCGAGGCTCATTTGGCAAGCGGCCGTTTGCGGCTTCTATAAAGCTACTCAACTTACCTATCATGAACTTCAAAGGTCGCCATGGGCTCTCGTGTAAGAAACGCGCTGCCTTTTGCGTTTCTGTTGAACGCACCTGAATTGGTAGTGCGACGCATTTCCACTCTACTTGCTCGGGTACGTGCACATGCGTCCCTCAGGCCGTACGATATCGGACATGTACCACACTGAGCCTTCGGATGACCTACTGTCGATAAGCGCGATGTGTCAAGAACGAGAGCCATTCAATAAACCTAGAAGAAGGGTATCGATTCTTGCGTTATTGGCGCTCTACCGCGATGAAGGCTAATAGGGGAGATCCTGCTACCGTGGACGTTCAGAATGAATAATAAGTGGGGGGTCAAGATGATCTTGCCCATATTTGGAAGAACCTTGCCATCTTAGTCAAGCGAAATGGGTGGTGTGCGTTTTAGCGCCCAAATTCACTAAAACCTCGAGTACTGTCTTTCGTCCTTCAATCTTAGTGATCACGCGGATGTCATCAATCAATACCGCAATGAAGCCAAAGGTCAGACCATTCCGACCTGTCGCTCCATGCTGGGAATGCTCCAAGCGACGACTGGTGTGCGATCTGGGGACGCCCAAGTGCCGAAAATGCCGTGTTCGAGGCGTGGACTGCCCTGGCTATCAACACAAACCTCTCCAGTGGATGCGGCCCGGCCAGACCAGATCCAAGGGAGCTCAATCGGCAAAGACACTAGGCGTCTCCTGCCCTCCCGCGAGAAGCGATGAGATTATCACCAATTGTACCTTTTTGGGACAGAAAACTTCGACTCGGGCAAAAGCGTCTGAGGACTCAAAAGCTGAGGATGTCAGCAGCACTCCTGCCTGTGAGGCCCAGACTGCAATGACTGTGCTCAGAAACATGAGTGGCCGAAGCACGTTTGAGATATTGATACAAGCGGTGGTATATTGTTGGTCGCACTCATGTCGCGAAACGCGAAGCGCGCTGGGTTAATGATTTGACTAGACAACATCAACATCGCGCCCGATTTGTCGGGGATTAGCCTGGAAGGCGCTGCCAGCCCTTTCATCGTTCCGTCGTCCTATGTGTCGTGGATACCTCCCGCAATATCACAGACACTCATATGCAGCGCCCTTGGCCATCGTATCTTGCAGACCGCTGAGGGCTTTGAGCGTGAGCGCAACGCAATGGCCCTAAACTTACGGCAATGTCGAGGCGAAGCTCTCCAGCTAGTCCGCAGGGAGCTGACTGGTGGCCGCGACTCCATTATGCCAATACTATGCCTACTGCTCTCCGAGGTACGGATATACCGCCTGGCCATTCGCGGCTCGCATCGTGCTGACTGAGCAGATCCAACACTCAATCTCACCCTCATGGTGGCACCACGTCGACGCAGCTTACACTCTGATTGACATGCACGGCGGGTTCCGGTGCTGCTCCCTGCTACACCCGAATATCCGACCTATGTATCAATTTCTCGTCTAGTATGTTTTATCCAAGTGTTTTGTCACGTTAAACTGATCTTTCTGAGCGTCGACGTTCTTGGCGCAACTATGTCCCCGTGCGTGAACTCGGCTCGCGCCCAACGGCAGCTGGAACTTCTGCCATACTTACAGGACCTTTTCGGCGACAGGACTTTGACCTGTATACCGTGTGCTCCCGGTCTCCTAGCTGAAGTTATCCGCATTAATTATTACCGCTTTCTTAAGGACGGCGCAACGTCACTCCTGTCGGATAGCGCGGATCAATTGCCATCCGGTTCGGACATTCTCAGACGCGTCTTAAACTTCTCCCCTGAGCTATGGGCGTCTGAGGTCGTGGCGAATTCTGATTTTAGCACGGGAGGCAGCTTGGACGAGACTGGACAGGGCTTTGCGGTGCGAAGAATGGGCTGGGAACGTATTGGTCGTATTTATCAATCCGCCGTGGTACTCTACTGCCTAGCTTCTCAGCCACAGGGATTCGACCACGTTCGCGAGTCTGACCAGTGGACGTCCCTCCGTGCCGGCCTTTTGCAGGATCTAAGAGACTCGTCGCTCGATGCCTGCAGCCATCACCGCAAGCTGGTCATCTGGCCGCTGACGATACTCGGCCTTGCGCTCAACTACGACGACGGCGGCGCCCAGCAATTTGTTCTGCAAGAGCTGAAGTGGGCGAGCGCGGCGTTGGGGACCGCGACACCATTGGTGGCGATACAGCTACTCGAGCGCACTTGGCAGGGGTACAGTGGATGGGAATGGGATAAACTCTTTGATCGGCCTTATATTTTCGCCCTGTGATGGCTATGCGAGCGCAGGTCGGATCATTTCAGGCAAAGGTGCTATTCGCCGCACGTCGAACGCGGTAGATTGCTGCGAGTAACTGGGACGTCAGCAAGAGTGTTGATAATAAGACAAGGCTGCTGACTGTGGATACCGAGCAGTGCCGGGTCTTGGCCATGTATTTTGCCTATTTAGGTAACGATCTACATCCTGATCTGCTTCGGCGTCAACGCTAACGCTAACGCCAGCCGCTTCTACTCCTTCTACAAGGCGTCCACGCAACTGTCAAGATTTTTCCCAATTCGGCTAAGGGGAGTCACTTCCATCAAGATCTTTTAACTGTCATTGCATTTTATCAATGTAGGACTTGGTGAGCGTTGCCTATAAAGCATAGTTGAACCCCATGTATCAGCTACTCGATCACCAAACAGCTTGAGCTGTACCTCTTATTGCCCATTACCATTGCGCACACATTTCTCCCATCACCATGCGGACCAGCTGGCTATATCCTATCTTCATTGCCACGCATGTCAGCGCCGGCCTCATTAAGTCCACCACACGTCCGCTCATTCTCGCAGACACGAACCGAGATGGCATCGTCAACGGCAAAGACATTGCAGACAAATATACCTGGACAAATGAATGTGGCGCCATTTTCCTCCCCAATATTGGCGATAAACGCCACCGATGCACTGCCTTTGATCTCAATGGTCTCTCCCTGAGCAACCAGGAGCTGTCGAGCTGTAACGACGCTTCAGGCCATTTGCTGCTAACCCCTGAGCTGGCAGCCCCAGCCCGAACCGCACCCCTTCAAGGTATCTCTAAAGAGGCTATCGGGAGCATCTATACGCTTCCGGAGAGCACCTTGGGCTCAGTGCGTGTATTCTGGAAACAGCCCGGATTCCTGTCAGATGCAGGTTCCCCGTGGAGACTCATTGATCCTCAGTTCATATTCAACGCGAGCAGTCTACGTGCTGGCATTGAGCTCGCCATAGACGCTAGAGAGTTGGTTTCTCACCTCTCTGCCTGGAACGGAACGCTTTCTTTGGAGTTTCGAGTCACCGACGGCAATATGACGACCTACGATGCCGTGGCGATGAAGCAGGCGCCGGTCCTATTCCACCATCATCTGCAGCGCGTACAAGAGGTGCTATCCGTAAAAGGAAACGAGACTTCCAGTCCGGTGCAGAACAAGTTCGTACGCGGTCTGGAAGACGCTCTAATGAACGTGGTTGAAACCCCGGCCCTTCACTTACTCAACGGCACCGACGAAATCTGGGCACAAGACTTCATGGAACCCGGCTTCGCCAGTATGCCTGGGCCAGAAGGTCCGATATCACTACGCGTCCTGGTTCGTAGTGCGCAATCCACCAGAGTTGCTGGACGTCAGGTCTTCGAAAGCTTCAGAGGTAATAGAGTCGGAGGCCATCAACTGTCGCTGGGGTCTGGCTTTGGGCACGAGGAGATTGACTCAGGTGGCAACATCGAGATTATCCCACCGTACGTATCCAAGAACGGGACATCATATAAGCACGGCAGGGTCATCATGGGAAAGCACTTTGACAAGCATCCAGCCAAGTCCATGACGAGCCTTATTGAAGCTCAAATCTACCAGTCTCCCCTCATCCTAGAGGCTGGCTGGTTGGTCATTGGACATGTTGACGAATTTGTCCAGTTCTTGCCATACCAGAACGACCTAGGATGGACCATCGCAATTGCGGATACACAAGCTCCGCTGGCTTTATTAAAAAAGGCAAAAGACAGTGGCCATGGCTCCACCCTTGTCACTAGCTATCCCGATCTCCGCCAGCCGGAAGGTTTTTCTTTTTACGATTCTAGCCTTGAGAACCTTACCATCGACGCGCTGCTGTCTGACGACGATTTCTTGCAGACGCAGAAATATGCACAGAAGTACATCGACCACAACTTGAAGCTTCTACTCGAAGAGGTACCACTGCCTCACAACCAAGTTCTGCGAGTACCCGCTCTCTTTAAGGATGTCACATATCCCTGGCCATCTAATCTCGATGGAATCCCCCCACGCCTGCACAGAGTCGCTCCTGGACAGCGTCAACTAATTGCTTTCCTTCCGGCTGTCATTAACGGTGTTGTCATCGGGTCTGATTATTTGGCTGCGAAGCCTTGGGGTCCAATCGTTGATGGTCAGGATATCTTTGAGGAGGCGGTGCGAGATGTGTACGGCCAAGCGGGGATGAAGGTACACTTCGTTGACGATTTCATGTCGCATCACGTAAATGGAGGCGAAGTCCACTGCGGCACGAATACCCTCAGAGATGCAACAGTCGAATGGTGGAGCTAAAAGCTTATACCAGAGTCGCGGCACACGATTGAAGTCAGGCTGGCGATCAATTCAATTCAATCACACATCTGGTGGACAAAAGATCAACCAGTGAACCGTGCGAGCGTGCACGTCCCATAAAACACACCGTGCCACCCCTGCTTTAACTCAATCGACACCCCAGATTGAATTGATCGCCACCCTGATTGAAGTGCAGGTGACGACTACTCGTCTAACAGCACGGCGTGTCGGCTAACCCTGACCCTAAATAAATAGAAAGGGAATTTTAGGTCAAATGGTCATTTTTTACGCTCATTGCTCCAGTTTGGCTGAAGAAGTGATTAAGTGAAACTGGGCATTTGTATGAGGAAGATTTGTTTTTGGTGTACAAGAGGTGGTACTTACGGAAAGTGGGTATTGCATGGTAATAACGTTAGATATTATCTAACGTATCTGACCACCACTCCGCCCACCCCCCCACACCGCCCATTTGGTGATAGTCTCAACACCACAACAGGTATCGATGATGCGTGCACTTTATTTTGCCAATTATGCATCAAAAAAATTCAAATTTTCAGAATAACTTCATTTATCATGGATCGTGAATTGAGAATTTCCAGAGCAATTTCTGAGGCCTCTACGAGGGGCGTTCGCGGTGCAGCTAAGTGGGAGACCGTGCCGAGGTCGACTTTGAGGGATCGGATCGGTGGCGCGCAACCGACGCGTTTACAACACCAAAAATACCTCTCGCTGACGCCGCAACAGGAACAGGAACTCATCGACCTTATATTAATACGGGAAAAGTATTCCCAGCCGTTATTGAAGAAGGAGATCCATGAATATGCCCAGCATCTTGCCGAATTGAACGGCTGTGGAAGTCATCTAGGGAAAAATTGGGTAAACCGATTCTTCAAACGACATAACAGCGTTATGTTGAAGCCATCACGACTTATTTCGGTCGCAAGGAAGAAGTCTGTCACGGAAGAGGGACTGAGGGAGTATTATGAGGGACTCAGGCGTCTTATTATTGACTTATCAATTGGTACAGACCGTATGCACAACCTCGACGAGACTGGAGTCCAAGAAGGGGAAACTATAGCCGGCATAGTAGCTGGAACGGTCCTGACGAGCTCGTCAGAGAAGATACAGTCAGACGCTTCCGCTTGGATCTCGATATTAGAGACGATATCTGCTGACGGTCGCCGACTGACCCCAACGGTAATATTTACAGGATTATCGCTACAGGGACAGTATTTTCCAAGGGATATACCGGATTGGAAGTTCACTTGCAGCGAGAAAGGCTGGTCTAATACAGAAATATTGCTACGGTGGTTCTACGACGTTTATCTGCCCGAGACTCGTCCAAAAGACCCGTCTTCCTGGCGACTATTAGTCCTCGATCAACATAAGACTCATATAAGTCCCGTCTTCATGAAGAAGGCAATGATGAACAAGGTCTGGCTTAGTTGGCTGCCGTCGCACTCGTCACACATCACTTAACCGCTGGACCTTGGTCTTTTTTCCCCGTTGAAAAGATACTATCGAGAAGAGACAGCTGGAATGGAGACCTACGAAGCGACATCAAATAGACAGAAACACATCTTCGTACAGGCATATAAAATAGCTTCTGAGAAAGCCTTCAGCCTAGAGAACATCCGACAGGCGTTTCGAGCGTCAGGGATATACCCAGTCGATGTCGATCAAGCTATAAAGAGGTTGAAGCCCAAAGAGCGTCGCGGATCGACTTTTCAGCCTCCCACAACACCACCAATCACGGTTGAAGTCGATCGCGATATCTTTAATATGCCCTCGTCAAGCCGCGATATAGAAAGACTGCTCCAACGGGTCGATTGGTCGTCAGGGAATGCTGAAAGGGACGTCAGAATGATCCTACGGAAGGCAGGAAAGTCACTGGACCAAAGAGGTGCGTCTACAGTCTTCCAGGAGCAAAAAATCGCCGTACAGAAAGCTCAAATAGCTGGTCTTAAGCCGTCAGGTCGTTGCAAGGTCAATTGGGACCCGAATAAGGCTTTTCCTCACGTTAATAATCTTGTTATAGCGAAGGACCGGTCCGAGATGAACACTTGGAAGTTAAATGACGAAGCCGCGGCGGAAAATCGTCCGCCGAAGCGGAGGAAAAAGCAGTCAGTTGAGCAAGAGTTTTTTAGTCAATATCCAAAATCTTAATTGAATTGAAGCTATTTTCATAATTTGAGAATTAATCTACATAATGCGTTGGAACGGAAATGAAGCTATCGCAGGTGGGGCGGTGTGGAGGGGTGGGCGGAGTGGTGGTCAGATACGTTAGTTTAGTCTGCCATGATGTATTCCATAACCATGACAAAACAAAATTCTTCCGAAATGTCCTTCCAAGAGGGTAGAATGGACCTCACTAAATCCAACACTTCTTCCACTTCTCGTTATACGCTGGTGAAATGCTGTTACATGTTCATAGTTGGTGTTCACCAATTACACAGCCCAGTTAGATTGGGTGCTCCGCGGTTTACACTACGTCAGTTTTGCCCGGTAAAAATTAACATAATTCCCAATATCCAGCATATATCTAGTCTTTTATCAACTTAATCCCACTACACTCAACCAGACCAAGCTAGAACTAAACGAATTTAGTAATAGCATTATCAAGCCTTCATTTAGCTTTGTCGTAACCACCCAGCTTTTAGCTGGATACACTCGACTTAACAGCTATACAAGCAGCTGGGAGAGTACAAGAATGCGGCAAAAATATTTTCTTTTCTATTGCTCATCTCTGCTTTTTCTTTTTACGTCATACGTTATTTTGGAGGAGCGGGGTAGGCAAGAAAACACGGCCACGTATTGCATGCAGGAGGCCGACCACCAAAGTATCGCTGCCATTGAGCTTTAAGGATGAGATTGGTTTTATCGCTTCTGATGATTTCAAATATTTTTTTCAGAACCGATATTGTATCTCAGATATCTCCCAATTTCTTTTTTGTGGTATATCACTTCATTTTCTGATTGCCTTTGCCTGCGGTACATGCTGGAAAACATGGCCTACTTGGCGATCCCGTGACCAACATGTAGCAGACACTTCACATGAAGTCCCAGACTTTGAATGCGAGACCTGTGACCGCTACTTCAACAGCCAGCGTGCTGTTGAGCAGCATATGAGCGATCTCAACCACTGGGCTGCTTCAGCGTCAGATTCGACGGAAGAGTCCAGCTACTATTGCGAGTTCGAGTACTGTGGCGAGGAATTTGACACGTCAGATGATCTAAGGAATCATGAAATCGATGATCATCTCTATTGTGATCCTTGTGATCGGTCTTTCAAGGACTTGAATAGCATCAAGATGGTTAGCTATTAACCCCAAACCTGCCGATGACTGATGACTGATATGTATAGCATCTCCGAAGTAGGGTACACCAAGGAGAAAACCAGCCCTGCCCTTTCTGCGGTCACCTATACGTAACTGCAGCGGGTGTCTTCCAGCATCTTGAGAACAACGGCTGTCCCAAAGCTCCTTTAGACAGGATGATGGTTTACGAAGCAGTCAAAAAGCGGGATCCCAATGGCTCGCTTACCATGAAACTGCTCAACTGGTCCAAGTCCGACAGTTTTGAGGCTACAGAAAGATCCTGGAATGCAATCACTAGAACTTTTGATTGCTCCCTCTGTCGGGCTCGTTTCAACAGCCTCAAATCTCTTAATCAGCATCTTCAGTCGCCAAAGCACGTGCAAAAGTTGTACCATTGCCCAAAAAAGGGTTGTGGTAAGAAATTCACTACGCTTGCTGCAGCTACCAATCACCTGGAAAGTGAGCAAAGCAATTTCATGCGCTTCGAGGATGTTCAGGAGGCTGCGAGTCGAATTTTCGACCCTGGTCGCATGATTGCTTTTTAGCGTGTATTTAATTGGGACGTGAGGATGAATCTAAAACCAGGCAATAGAGCAGTCTAGAATATCTTAAGCTTAGGTACTACTTACAAGTGATTTTACTTAAATTATTATATAACCCTAGTAGGTAAAAGGGTTAAGGGCCAGGTTAAGGTTTAGTATAGTTAAATATAGTTAAGTAAAGTTAGATATAATTAAGTATAAGACTATAATTTTACACTAACGTAATCCATAAGCGAGCGCCGCAGACAAGCGAGCGCCGCACTGCACTGTATAGCTAAAAATAGCTTACCCTATAGTAATTAAAACCTTAAATAAAATAGCTAAAAACATAGAAAAAGTATTTTTAGTAATAGTATAGTAATAGTTATATTATATATTTTTCCTAGATTTTTAAAAAAAATTCCTTCATAAAGAAAAGCTTAATTATACAGTGTATTATATAGTATAAATAGGTTTTAAAGTTTATAGCTATATAGGATTTTCTTAAATTTCTTTAGAAGATAAAATAGCTTATTTTAAGACTTATATATATGCTATTAAAATTATAGCTATTTTAGGCTTAGTTTGGATTTTTAAAGAGTTTTTTAAAAACCGGATTTAAGGTGTATAGGGTAGTGCGGCGCTCGCTTGTCTGCGGCGCTCGCTTATGGATTACGTTATTTTATATTATATATTATATATATTTACTTATACCTATTGTAATATAAGAACTATATTATAAGTAAGTTATAATTATAACTTCTAGGTTACTTTATTATATAGTAAAACTATTAATTTTACAACATTTAATACTATATACTCTTAAAGCATATAGACTATATAGACCATCTTTTAAGAATTAACGTTTAATATAACAGACCTATATATAAGTCTGTTTATGCCGGGGGTATAGATGTTAACTACTGTATTCATCGCACATCAGCTGCAAGAAGCACTATTTAAAGCCTGTAGCTAGAATATACATAGTCCAAAGTTTGAGCCACTAGTCTTTTCCCTGGTATCGTCAAATGTCTGCCAGATATCATCATTTTTGCCAACAACCCCAACGGTGATTACGCCCCTGTTCCATACAGGCCAGATCGTTGGCTTGTAGATTAGCCTATCCATGTTAAATCCTTGATTATAAATAATACGAGAAAAACTTGTGATTCACTCCATGATTCCCAGAAGGAGCCACGACTTCGCAACCCTTGGTGATAAATTTCCATTGGATGACTTATGCCTCATTGCGTAAAAGGGAAATGGGTGTGCTCCATTAGTTCGGAGAAAGAGATAGTATTACTAAGTCTAGGGACATGCTTTCTGTTGATTTGACTGGACCTATCTCCTCTGACGTCGGTTTTGCTACCTATCTTTCTCAAAGAAAGGACACCCCGGGCCACTCCATTTGGCTTGGATATACTCCGAGTACGCTTGGTCACTCGCCCTAATATCAGCCTTCCTTAGCTTAGCGTCTTTTTCATCCAAAGTTTCAATCTTTTTCCAGAAAGACTCTCGGGGATCAGGAAGAAAGGTTTCAGCCAAGCTCATCAGAGTCCCTACTACAAAGACAATAATCCATTTGAGAACGGGATTCACGGGTTTGATCCGCATAGTGTTGATAGTAGTTGGGAGTGATAGCGCTTTGGGGATGGAGACGCCCAGCCAACGTAACCCTGGTGGAAAGTAGCGAAAGGCGAATTGATTCATGATTGCAAGACCTATATGTTGCATCCTCTCATCGAATTCACGTGGTGTGTTCTCATAGACTTCACAAAAGTCTAAGCAGTCCTCAAAGTCATCTGGATAGCCATGCACAGGACTGCCATCCTCTTTGATGAACAGAGGTGTCATGTCCCGCCAGAAGTGATGAGCGACCGTCTTTTCCTTTTCTGTGAACCCAGATAGCCCCAGTCGGAGGCGGAGGCGGTGCATCAAAACAGTACTAAAGGTCATGACATAGAGAAAGTCATCGTTGTCTGAGAAGTTGCCAGGATATCGTCGAGCCAGTGAGGCATGGAGATTGTTGATGTACCTGACTGCCTCTCGACAACGCTCATCGCTGGGACCGTAGTGCCACCATGTCATGTTGTAGTTTTCTGTATCTTCGACGCGCTGAGCACCTCGCTTTATGACCTTGCCGCCGTCCGAACGCCAGACAGTCTCGGCTCCGTGCGTTGTGATAACAAAGTTGGGGAATGTGAGAGCGTAGATCATGTTGTTCATGAAATCTGATGACCGATAACAAGACATGAGACGCCACATCAGCTCGTAGTCCGTCTCGGGATCAAGACTTTCGATGGCGCTTGAGATCCAATGATAGCCTCCCGGGGTAGGTTCGCGATACATCTTTGTTGGAAGGGATAAGGACTGATATTGCGATCAGCTGTGTCTTTACTTGGACTTGAGTAGTGTTTGCATGATACAATTCGAACATTGTGATTGTAGACGCCACAAACCCTTTATAATAGGCTAGAGACGGGGCTGGCTGGTTAGGAGGTAGTGATTGCCGACAATGCCCCGCCATAGTCTAGTCGCAGGCGCCTCGATGTGGTTCATTGCCAATAAAGGTAGGCCGGAGCTAGGGATGTTGAATGTCAACTCCTCCGACGTGTCGGCTACAACAAAATGCCTACAAGTTCCGCTGACTAAACCATATATCAAAAAGTCGCCGTTTCAGTGGGGCCATGAAAAAGTGCACTATGAACCATCGAACTCAGGCTCTACGTGTCGTACAAGAAGCTGATTCTGCGTGTAAACGCCCATATATTCAGTATATGATACCAAAAGGCATTTTCTTATCGGGTATAATTGCGGCTCCCATAGCGTAATCTTACTCGGCGCACTCTGTCTTTAAACCATCTATTAAGATTTACACCCAGAAAACTACCATTGAATCCGCTCAAACCATCTCTGGAAATCGCTGGCGAAAAAATGGCCCAACTCAAGCTCGTCGCCGAACCCAACCTCAGATGCGTCCCATGTAAGCATCGTAGAAAGTAAATCTGACTCAATGTTAAAGTGGCCAATGTCTCCCGTGGCAATAGAGTGGGTTTCCAAGTATTGGTCGGAAGAATTAGGTGCCTGCGAAGATTTTGTATCTGCAATAACTAAGTTGAGTTTGATGCTCATCACGAAAGGAGGGTCAAGACATACCCCAAGCGTTGACTAATCTCAGAAGCTGCCGCAGAACTTTGACACAGCGCAAAACGATAGTGTTGTGGTCGCCAAGCCTCACGAGGGCCTCGGAGGCTTGGTTCAGAGATCGTTTGGCTCGGTCAAGGCGATCAGCACCATCGATCTCTCCTTGAGAGTCTTGGGAAATCAGAAGGCTTCCGAAGACAGCCAGCGCCGCACTAAATGTTACAACGAGTCAGATGGGATCTCCGATGGCTCCAAAGACGACAACCAACACTTACCATAGTAGAGAGTAAACCACCACGCACCAATCAGGTGGCGGCCATGGTCAGGCCTCATCAGGACGGCGTGTATGATATCTATGATGTTCTCTGCCACCTGGACAAAAACCCTGTCGAAATTGGCCTGCATGTTACTTACCGAACCTGTATTGCGGTGTAATAACATGGGTTCCTTGAGCAAAACTCACAACGATCGGATAAAAATTGGACGGTGGAGGAGGAGCTGGACGTTTAGATATCTAAGTGTCAAGATTACTCGGAAGCGTTCGATTATAGAATTCTGCGTCTCTGCGTCTTGTGGTAGTTCACTGACGTTGCAGAGACCTAGCTGCATTGGTAAGCTGCCCTGCCAGTCTGCGAGCTCCTGTCCGAATTGGATAATGGACGTCATGGTAGCAGTATCTGATGTTTGGTCGTCACACCCAAGATTGCTTCCGTAGAGAGTTACTATTATCCTTCCCATGATTCTGTACAGAAGTCTATGGCAGATCAGTGTTTGAAGGCATCGGGGGAAAGGGTGATCTTACATGGAGGCGTTGTAAAATGCAAGGATCAGCTGCTGGACTTCCTCGGGAACTGAATCGCAAGGAGGCAATGGTTGTGGGATATCAAGGCGGATATATTCTTCTGGAATCGCACATGGACGCCCGAATGTCATGCTGAGGCTTCTATAACAACCGGTTAGTATGATCGAAGCACGTGGAGTCCTACTTATTATGCGTGGCCGACTGTGATCTTTTATCTGAATTGGAATAATGAGAATACATCCAAACCATGTGCGTTTCCTGATCTCTTGCTGAAGTGGAGAAAACTTAGAAGCAATATCTTTCGAATGAAGTCCGATAGACATGGCGGCTTTGACGGCGAGACCATGTATAGTCCATGTATGAATGGACTTATGCGTTCCCTGAAGATACTGACTTGTAAGTAACAGGTATTGAACTAGGTTTGGTCAGCTCCCTGTTCATGGGACGTCATCAGGATCTTGGGCCTTGCCTGTCTCAAGCGTAGTGCCTCGCAGCATCTGCATTTGACAAAGCTCTTGAGCGCGGCGGTAGTAGACATCAGATTGCTCAAAATGCAACTCGCTCCCGGAGTCTTCCCAGCATGATGTGCAAGTGGCCATGGCGAGTATCATGTTTAACAAGCCTAACCATGTCCGACGCACATTGGTTCGGAAGCCACTTGCACGAAAACCATGATATGTCTCGAGAAATTCTTGCTCGTGGATATATGGAAACAGAAGCCCCATATTGGCAAAGTATGCACGGATGAGTCGTTGCATCTCTTGATCCGGGGGAAGCAGATTGGCACTGACTTTGTGGGAATCATTTGCAGAGATACCCTACTGTACCAATTACCACTGGTAATGGCACCCAATACCATTTTTTCTGGCCCGTGCACCATTCTTTCGATCTTAGGTTCTGGGTCCGAATACAAAAATTACTCGACCTGTGCGCCTTCCCTCGCTTACATGGTATGGTTTAGTGTACTAATCCCCTGTCGCTGCAAATAAGTAGGAAACGGCTTCATGATGACCTTATGTACAAGGAGATGATCAAATTCAACCCGGCCTAGCTGCCTGCTGTTTCTCCGGAAAGGACAGAAGCTAAAAATGGCCTTGGTCTATGGCCGTTTTCGGTTTTGATGGAAACCCTGTCAAAACCCCCAAAACGGCTTGCTTGACCGGCTGCAGCCATAAAAGCCCCTCAGCACAGATTGACCACACAGGGCTTGATGGCGGGCGGCTGACCCCGCAGCGATGGAAGCAGAGGGCCATCGGGCGTTCAGTGGCACTTGTGACAGACTGACAAGTGCAGGCGAGCAAGTCAAAAGCGGCTCGGTGAGTCACTTGGTGGTACGAGAGGACAATTGCGGCGTGGAAGTGAGGGGAAGCGAATGGGCAATCATTGGCTGTCGTATGTTCCCTCAATTGTGAAGTGACACGCTTTACCCCGCAAACCATGTCAGAATCAAGCCGCTGTCAGGCAGACCGGCCCGCTCCGCGAAGATAGCTAAGACCTGACTAAGGGACTTGTATTAAGGATTCGCTCTCAAAGAAAACAAGCCTTCTGCTGCATTGCAGGTATTGGCTGTAATGGAGCTTCCTGTCTCGCCTTATTATGAATACCGACGAGTTGCTTCGTGTATAGTGCGGCAGCGGGGGATGGGTAGATTTGACTTTGACAGGGAGTTAGCTTGAATTTCTGATTGGTGCTTGGTTACACGTTCAGGCAAGGCAGCACTTTAAGAGCAGCGCGATAAATGTGAAATCGACAAATGTGAGTTTTGTGGCGACAACGCAAGAATATCCCAAAACAGTGAGTGTTTCTGCTGCTTTTGTCAATAAGTTTAACAAAGACGAGATGCCATGGTAGTTTTGACGCCGTGCTTCAGACGGCGATTGCATGGGACGAGCGTTAAATTTATTCATCTTAGTGGTGGGACCAGCCCGGGGGGAAGCCGGAGACGCCGTGGAGAGTGGTGCCCGGCTCATTGTCTCCAAACCCAGCTTGAAGTCACAGTCAATCGACCTTGCTTCTTGCGTGGCAATGACCATCCTTCCTTCAAACCTATTCTTGCATGATGGTCGAAGAATATCTGGGTACATAGGCGCGTAATCAATCCTAGTCTCCCGGCTCTTACCATAAAAGTAAGAGTTGAGAATACTTCCAGCTGATTACGAACAATAAAGATCTATAAGCTTAGAGTTGACAATATGGTCACCTTGCGCAAGGTCATGTCTTGTAAGCGCGCGCCATATGATCGTCTGTCAAGACACCAAAGCGCCTATACAAGCGCCAGGTTTCAGGTTCGTATAAACCTCAAGCTTCGCGCTAGCCAGGGTACGGCGCTTACTATCTATGGGTGCACATCAGGGCAATTACAACGTATATAAGATTGCCTTTGGATGCTGGAGCCGGTACATGACCACATCATCACGCATCTCATTTCAAACATCTGCTTACAAAGGTCATTCCCGTACCATTTATTAAACTTCATTACGAAGTGCTATCGATCCCATCTCCAACCGTCACTTCAATTAACCAAGCAAGTCTTCAAGAGTTTCAATAAGCATGACGATTCTCCAAAGTGGCTTGCTGCGAAAACACTACGAGGAGGCCGTTGACGACATTGAATATAAGTCTTCAGCTTTCTGGATGGCTGTTCTGCAACGCGCCTTTTACGAGCCGGATATCTACTCAGTAACCCCCGAGTCCTCGCCCGATGGATCGCTGCGACGGGTAGACATGGTGGTAAAGCGTTATGACCAGGATAACCACACCCTATCAGCTTTGCTCTGGGTCGAATGCAAGCGTCCAAGTGGCAGTGTGCAGGAAGTTGAGGATCAGGCGCTTGATGCAGCTCGACGCTGTATCCAGAGGGATGGTCTGATGTGGATTTGGGCCATGACAACGGTTGGAGTGTCGTTCCGCATGTGGTTCGTTGATGCACGCGGTGGCCAACTGGTTCCCATGCACGGAACTGCTGCTCAAGCTGATAGAAGACAATACATCGATGCCAACTCGCCTGCGGCTAGCGTTTTCCCTGATGCGATCCAGAGCATCAAGAACGGTTACCCGCTGCGTCAGGCTCCTGTCCTTCCCAGTCAGTCCTTGGACCTGTTGACCTCGAACGATGCTGAATGGGGAGCGTCCGAGAGTTATATGTCGGGCATGCCGACCCAAAACCAGGACCAGTACTATGGGGTGGAGGCTGGTCCTTCTAGCTATAGCGGTAATGATATCGGAGGTCAGCCTGTAGAAGTCAGGGTCGAAAGGATCACCCATGGTTTTTCTCGGGCCCCCGACGAGTATGTATTCCGCGATATCAATAACAAACGGAGGTCGACTAGGAAAGAGAATTGGGAGACGGGCGAGTACCAGGGAGAAAGGGTCTGGTTTTACCACGGCAGAAAGACAACCTACTTCAGCCGTAGAAAAATTGGGTAGTGGATATACTCATCGGGTGTGGCCAGATCGCCTGCACATTGTACAAAACAGCAAGCGCCCATCCTGTAATGTTGACAGGACTTTCTGGTCTATGCTCCTAAGTAGCCAGTCGACAGTTTAATTGAGCCGGACGTTGTCATAAAAGAGAACAGTATGCCGAGATGAGAACCACCACTCTAAAACTCCAACTTGCGCAACATCAAGCCAATGGCCTTCTCCTCCATCCAGAGGCGCCTGGGTCGTGGCACTCGCCACATAACCCCAGCTTTTCTTGGTCCTTTTGCCAGAAATGTACAGCTTATCGGTTTCGCCGACCGCGAAAGGTTCGATGCTCCAGTCTAGGCGGAACTGACCAATAGATTCGCGGTGACCGTCATGATAATAGAGAAGCATGCCAACAACCGGCCGGTGAGAGGCGGAGGCATTGATGCATGGTTGAATACCGGTCAGGCGTCGCATGCTACACGAGGTGTGTACCCAAATTTCGTTGCTCTGCGTATAGGGACAAGGAGAGACAGATACAGGCATGCTTGGAATGTTGTCTTGGGTAGTAGTACCGTTGTCCTCTAGAGCAATAAAGTCTACGTTAAGTGTGCCACAGGCACCGGGCTGATTGTAGTAGACACGGGACGGCTTGCGAAGCAAGGCAGCAACGCGTCGTGAGTAAACACCCGCATGTCCGTAGAGTCCGAATACGGCGGTGCGTCCTCGATTCGTGGTGAACTAACATAATTCATTAGCCTAGCCTAGCATGAGACAGGTGAGAAGAGATCGTACCGTTAGCCCGATGGTTTCAATCTGAAGTATCAAGCGCCCTGCCCGCCTACAGATGTCAGTAACATATTCGCCCTTGCTAATGGGCATGTACATCCAAAAGCAGATGGGGCCGTCGATTTCCTCGAACAAACTTGTGTCTACTTCTTGGCCTTGCTTATGGGATAAGACACTGAATGTCCTGACTCCATCAGTAGCCACAAAGTATCCAAGAATGTCGGGCGCATTGCAATCGAAAAAGCGCATTCGGAGGCCATTGGGGCATTCTTTCGGTGTCTCCAGCGTTAAGAGGTCAATCACCGAGGGTGTAATGGAAACTGGAAGTTGCCAGACGGGGGACCCCTTTTGCAGACATTCGATGTCGCGAATTTTGAACCCCTACATTTACGTTAGCTTGAAATGATACCTCAGGTGTTAAACTACCGACATCAGTCTTGAATACCATGGTGGAGGGTATGTTATACTGAGGCATGTGTTTCCACCACGCGCCTGGCACACTTGGGGGAGCACGACACCATTGTTCGACGTGTTTAGGCGAGACAAAGAAAATTCGACGAATGCCGAGATGATCCTCTGCCACAAACATGTCTTTGTCCGTGTCTCCGTCTTGTACGATAGGGGTAGACAATCGGATTGAGATTTCCCCTTTGGTTTTGTTTCGAGCCTTGTTTCGGAGGGTTTTGATATAGGATCGGCCGTCGATTTTTACATAAGTCGCGTATACAGGTTGATTTAGATCCAAAGTAATATCTGCAGCACTGTCACTGTTGCACCCATCCACCTGCTCTTGTGCTGTGAGGGTGGCGCAATCTTGCAAGAGAAAACCAGCGACCATGGCCCATAGTTCTGTGGGAAGCTCTCGAGGCCAGAGTTTTGCATGTTGCAGTTTGTAGGTGAGAGCTTGTCGGATATACTGAGTTCGTCGGCGCTCCTCAGTCAAAGGCGGAGGAAAAGCGTAGTGTGTAGCGGCGAGGAATTCGGGTGTTATCGCGTAGAAGCGGAATTCATAGCAGCTGGTGTGGAAGCATACTATGGCTTTGGTACGAGACCTGCATTCGTCGGCGAGGCACATGTGCAGTTTGATATCGAGCTCATCGTCGTAGAAGGTTGTGCGTCGGCGGAACGAAAACTCGCAGGAAACTCCCTCGTCGCCAACGTCTGAGAGATAGTCAGTACGATAAGTCGAATGACAAAAGGATAGTGTGTGTATTACGCACCTGCAACAATTGGCTCTCCATCTTCCAGTAAGAATTGGCAGAGTCTACAGCGAGCTTGTGTGATGCAGTAGTAAGGCGTTGATGGATATACAGCGTTGGCCATGGCTATCATGATCAGGAAGTAACTTAAGGGGGAATACGCGACTTGAGAGATTAGATTAGCTCACGTTTTATTGGACAGCGGAATGGATCTTCGGAATTATTCCGCTCCGGCTATCGGTACCATACACACAAACTAGCACCCATTCCAATTCTACTGAGAAAATCATGGGCTTCCCTTTTGCCTCATATATATTACTTCAAAAAAAAGTATTTCATAAATCTGTCATACTGTACACTCACGATTACTTACTCAATGCCAGTATCAATCTACAATGTCTGGTCTGATAAGCAATACATGGTAATGACGTGCGTAATGACGTAGACTGTCGCACTGGGCGTGCTTAAAGGGTTAAAGTAAATGTGTTGAGCAGCAGCAAATGTGTTGATTGATTGTTCTCTTAAGTTGTCTCTTGTGCGGGGTATTCCATCCCGCAGAGTTACTTAAAGCATATAGCTAGATTACTAATGCAGTTGTTTCCTGAGGCCGTGAAGATCATGCCTACCCTGCGACAGAGACCCACTTCTTCCAGCTCAAGCAAAGACTTCATCTCAACAACTTGTTGATTAAAAGAAAAGGTCCCACTTATCGCCCTAAGTATATATTCACACTGTGTACGCTTTTGTACATGACTGATAGCCCGGAAGCTAGCGTACTTACCTGACGGAGTTCAGCGATAGTACTTACGACTCGCACTGTCACATTGTCTCCACTTCCCCAGATTTGCGCCCTAACCTCCAGGCAGCAGCGTCGGCCGGTCCCCCATCATCATGCAACTGATACACTCTACCAAAGTAAAAGCGAGAATGCCCCCAGGAGTTCAGTAGCTAAGCGAGGTGAACATGAGGCCTAGGTCTCTCGTCTGGCGTCAGTAAGGTGCACCTTCCCAAGTTTGATAAGGACAAGAACCTATGGGAATGAGTTGGACGTCGTTCCTACGCCTTTTTACCATCAATTGTAGTTTGTACTTGGACCCTCGTTTCCGCTCGCATAGTTCTCCTCATCGAGATACCCTACTCTTCTGTTATAAATTGTCGTGTAGCCCAAACTGTCGTCTTCGCCTGACCATTCCTACGTGAATGGTTATTTCCATCACCAGAGAGATGGTCTGTGCTACGGTACCATGCTTCCGAAAGCTGCTCGAGTTTGACCCCGACGACACGCCTTCCGAACGTATGTTCAGAGCCACTACTAAGCACCCAAGGATGGCTCGCCATCGGATTAGTAGTTTCCCAAAATTCAACCTGCAAACGACTATCTGGCCTAAATTTTAACGGCATAACGTACAATCATCCCATGCGAATGTAATCGTCATGATGCCGTCTGTGGGTCTGCATCACCCTCCAGGGCCTCGTTAACCCCACTTGGGAAAACATATGGCCACGATTCATACTAGATACGTCGGAGCGGTATCGTTTCAAAATCACAAGATTAGATAATATATTTAGAGTAACAAGCCGATAAAGATGAAATTACCCAGTCGACATATAAGTTTCCTTTCACTCCGGTTTGGATTACTAGTTACGGGCTGTTCTCGAATCGCCTATCAAGCAGTTTCGTTCTTATTCATTCTTATCCACGGACAGTCACGTTTATATAGGCTAGCAGATGATATATACCTGAGATCAAATCTCTGCACGCCAGTCCCAATTCCGTGACTAAAATATGCGTTACTATCGCGGTTCAAAGGCACAATAACCGTTCTGAATAATTAAAAAGACCTCAGCACAGCCGTGTTTATCAAACCCAATGTGCTCCAAGCGTGTCCATTATCCATTATATTTCCCAGATGATACCCGTATCATCAACATAATGCCTGGTAGTGCCTATACCACAAACCATTCCACTCAATCAAATCAACTTTAGGTTCAAAGTTGATTTGATTGACATATGATGAGCGCTGATTCCATTCCGCAGAGTTAAAGTATACCGCTAGATTACTATTGCAGTTGGTTCCTGAGGCTGTGAAGATCATGTCTACCCTGCGACACTTCTACATGGATGGCGATAAAATGAGGGGAAAACAATGTAACGAGATACAACGTGGTGGGCCCTATGAGCGTATCCTCCCGGGCGGAATAAATTCATTCATTCATTCTACATGGATGGCACGGGCCTTCGTGGAAGAAACGCAGCGCGTTTCGTGTTCTCGATTTACGGGCCTAGATGGAAATGCGCCGCATTTCCAGACGAGAAATTTGGGGTAAGAATGTGGAGATTCTGATTGGTGTAGAAGTGGAAATGCGGCGCATTTCTGGTCTTCATTCTTGAGTAGGTGTTGTATGTGGCTGGCCAATATGTGCTCCAATCTCGATCGAAGTTGGGGATCGACAAGCTTCCACTTCTCGAGACAAGGCCATCGCTCCTGCTGGTCGAGGGGCTCTCGGGGGACCCTTGTGTGTTTGGAGCTCCGGAGGGGCCTCCGGTCTCCTCGGCTGCACCGCTTTCAGCCAACTTGGTAAGGTGCTCCGCTAGGATCTCCACAATGCTCGACTTCCACGATGCCACCTTTTGCAAGGGTTGCTCGTTTATGTGCTGGTAACAGTACATATTCGTCTCAAGAACTTTGAGGAGACCTTCAAGATAGGAGTCATTCAGATAGACACGCGGATTGACAATCTCATCAATCGTCAATGCACAATTATACATTCGTTCCCCGCTAATTCTGTGCTTACAGCGCGAAACAGACTCGCAGAAGCATGTATGTCAACGGCCGTGTATAGACGAGATACCGATACGTAATGTCTGTGACTAGATCAGGCAGGAAACGGACAACATAGAATTCGTTGTTAGTGGATATTCGGGTCTTATAATGTCTCGTGATCAGACAAAGCCGCCCACTATACAGGCAGATGCCAGAGAGCTGTGAAGCCGTGTTGCCATGACGAATGGTTAAAAGCTCCGTTGCCCGGACACATTGTCCCGATGATAAGTGGCATAATAGTAGGATCGTCCTAAGAAGATCGTTATGTGCATCGATATAGCTGCGTGACCGCTAAGATCTGGTTGGCTGGAGGGATTTCATGCTAAGAGCCGAAAAGGCTAGCTTAGTGACCGTGAAATTCAAAAGGGTAATTTCTGCTAGTTTTATTTAGCGCCTAGCGCCTACACCATGGTGTATAGATTATTTTTAATAGGAAGATGTGATCCATGAACTGGCGATATAATCATGCCGATTGGTGGGACTTATGGGGCACGCGTAATGAGGTTGTGAGGGTCGTTACACAGAAGGCAGTCCGCAGAGCTTCATCCCCCAAAACCTGCTCAAGCATGTCCAGAGTAGCTTGCCAGCCAGGCTCCATGAACCGAGACATAAATATCAATCGTTTTGCCGCCTTATCAACTCCCTCCTTCTCCTTCACGACCTCAGCCCTTGCAGCCTCAAGCTGACCGAGTCTCTTGGTGACCAGCGCAATCTCATTTTCGGTTTCGGAAAGTCCGGCTGACCTGTTGTCCAGTTGACTTTTGACGATAGTATACACTTCTTGATGTTCGACTATAGCCTTTTTTCGCTTGTCTAGGAACGTGCGAAGTTCGTTATCTTTTGGATATTTGTTGAGGACATCTTCGAGGTCTCTGAGCATTTTATTCTCGGTGGCTGTTGTTTTCTCAACATCCTCGAAGGCTTCCTGGGCTTTTTTCAGGTCCTTTGCTAGCTCGTCCTTTTTAGAAAAGAGACTACGCTCAAGAATGGTGAGTCTGCGATGTTCATCGCTGATAGATGTTAAGAGCTGCTCGAAGCTTTTGATGTGCGGTGCTAAGGCAGTCGAGGCAGCCTTCAAGCTTTCTTTGAACCCATTTCCAGAGGGCTGTAGAGTAGTTAGGTTATGGCACAATAAACTTGGTTGGGGGATCATCCTTACTAGAAGTGCGTTCCAATCTAATGATCCTGACATTTGGAATAGTTGGGACTGGTCGTCCATAGTCTTGTGTCTCTTTGCTGAAGGAGCTGTACGGAATTCTGAGCTGTTCGCTGCTGTCTGATTACAAGATATAAATGTACTTCCAGATGATGATCGAGCCGGGCGCTTGAGAGCAATGGGACGAGGCATGGATGGTTGGCTGCTTGCTGAGTGGGAGTATAGTGCTTGAGGAGTCCAGGCTGATGATGGCGGCTGGTTACTTAATCGTTGAACCGTCTGCATGGAGCTCTGCGAGCCTCGTGAAGTCTTTGGGGCAAAAGCCGCAGTCGTATACTCAGAGCAGTGAACAGTGCTCTGAGGTGTATCGCGAGCAGATCGAGAAGGCAGCTGAAGGCTCCCCCGAAGACTCGTGTTTGGTTCTGCTGCTGCGGAGTTGGAGTTTAATCTTGTAAGACAGGTTTCAGATTGTCTATTCGCTTGAGCCAGCTTTGAATTTTGATTCACGCCGATTGAATCATCGGTTGGCTCGTTGTCTTGAGTTTCAACGACATCTTTGCTTGGCGAGCGACATCGTTCTCGGGATGCGCTATGCTCAGGTTCATCTTCAATTTGCTCATCAGCCTCATCCTTCCCCATAGTCTTAGAAAGATCAAACGCTATGATTTCATCGACTGGTTCAGAATTTGCCTCAGTTGCCTCATTGTCCACAGTCTCATCATGATCATTACCATAAAATTGCTCATCCACTGTCGCATGTTCCCTTGAGCGCCGTGGATGCCTATTATCGGGAATAGTGCGCTGCCCTGCGGGAAAAGCTCGCTGAGCTGGATAATCTGGCGACGATGTGGCATTGCCGTTGAGAGACGGTCTATCGCGCTTGCGCACTGATGATAGGTTAAGAATCATAGTAAACGGTTACAAATGTGCCCAAAATACATTTGAGCGCAATGGCGGATGAGACTGAATGTGGTGAAAATGAGTTGATGAGAATGAGCAACGAAAGCGTAGTGATAAGTTTGTTGATTTGATTGATTGATTGATTTGATTATATCCTACTCGGTTGTAATCATCTAAACGATTATGCCCGGATAACGGGGTCCGGCGAACAGCCGAAGTCTCGCGGATCAGTATTGTTCCGCGGTGCCCCACTTCGCCAACGTCAAACATCGTTGGCCAGCTGTTCCCAAAATTCCCGCTTTTCTCTCTCTAACCACTATTTACATTTGCTGGCAGGCCCATGTACGCAGTGGTTTAATGCTAATGGATCCTTGATTCGAGGCTCTCTCGGGTTGTGAAGCCCTCTCTTTCGCGACCGCGTACCTACAGTCTCCCCCCAGTGCTCAGCTTTGTCTATTAAGGTCTCGATCCAGAAATTGCCCAAGGATCTGAGTCAGTTCGATGAACTTGATTGCCTTGGCGGCTGCATTGCGCTCGTTCAGTAGCTTCCGGAGATTGTTGCGTCCTCGGAGTCGTCCCAGTTCCTGGTCCCGGAGTTGGCGGTGTCGACGGCAGCGTAAAAGGACGTGCGCTACCGTTTGTCGATCCGATCCGCAGGGGCATCTGTTGCTGGTGATACCTGGTACTCTTCGGCCGAAGAGGAAGTCGTTGAAGCCTATCTTCTCTGTACGCAGCTGCATGAGGAGTGCGCTGCGCTTCTTGATGAGCCCATCGTGCAGGTCCAAGACCTTGCGCGAAGGTTTGGGCGCGTGCCTGAAGGATGCTCGGCCGCGTGTTTCGGATACCCAGCTTGTCTCCCATGATTTGATGGTCTCTTTATGAGACCATGTCTTCATGGTTGATCGAAGTGGGTATAATTGCTGTGGTTCTACTGCTCTCGGTCCTGTGAGGCTGCCTTCTCTCCAACCTGTCGCTTCTTTTGCTGCTCGATCTGCGTCTTCGTTGCCTTGGATTCCTATATGCGCAGGGACCCATCTGATCTCGGTATTCAGGTCTTGTGTTCGGAGTTCGTCGATCTGTTGCGTGATATTCTTGAGCAGGTATGCGCCTGATTTGCCCTTGGGCCTGGCGGTGGATCGAATAGCGGCCTGGTTGTCGGTGTAGATCGCGACCTTGCTTCTTCTGTTGCCTTTCGATCTGTCTTCTTGTGCGATCTGGAGGGCTAGGCTGATGCCCTGAAGTTCACCGGCGTAGACGGTGGAGGTTGTCTCGTCGCCCATATATGCACTCTTTGTTTCTTGGGTAGTGGTGCAGACCGCGGCAGCACCGATGCTGCCGTCGATGCCACTACCATCTGTGTAGATGTGTATTGCATCCAGCTCGTCTTGTATGATTTGCTCGTGTCTGGCTTGCGCTTCCTCTATGCTTGCTTCGATGAACGTCTGTGGACCTTGCCACCACGGGGGCACTATGTAAGGAGTGATGTGTTCTTGTCTCCGAATATTTGGCCCTTGGCGATCGGTGATAGACTGCTCGATAGCTCTTCTCGGGCTTTTCTTGTTTCTTCTCGTTTCCCCTTCCGTGGGCCCATGATCACCCGGGCCGATCCTTCCAAGAGCGTTGACATTGTGCTTGAAGATCTGCAATTCGACTGGTAGAAGGTATGTTTCTATGTCAAGGGCCGGTATGGACGTTGCCTTGAACGCCCCACTGATCACCCTGGAGGCTCTTGCCTGTAGGCTTTGAAGCTTGCTCAGTGTTCGCTCAGTATATGGCTTGTCCCTGGTCCTCCAGTTTGCATTCGACCAGGCAGAACAGGCGTACATCATCTGTGGCACCGCCACTCCTTTGTAGATCTTGCGCATCTCTCGCATTGTCACACCCCAAGTTGAGCCGCCGAGGCTGCCTAGGGCGTTGACTGTCTTGGTGACCTTGCGTTGTACTTCGTCTATGTGTTGTTTCCAGGTGAGGGTGGAGTCCATGATGAGGCCCAGGTACTTGCATGTTTTCTTTGGTTCGATCATGCCCCCATCTTGTCTGAAGGGGTTCCTCTACATCTATTCTTGTTCTTGTCCTCGTGAAGTGAGTGAGCTGGAACTTGTCTGGCGCGAAGATAGATGCATGAGTGGCCGCCCACTTCTCTGCGACGTGGAGTGCCTCTTGTAGCTTTTTGCATGTCTCTTTCGTGGAGTCTGCCCAGGTCAGGATAGCCACGTCGTCTATGAAGCCGGTTGTCATTGTGTCTTCTAATTCTCCGCACTTTTCTATTAGATCCGCGTTGTAAAAGAGGTAGAGGATCGGTGATAGATTTGATCCCTGTGGCTCTCCTGTCTCCAATCTGTAGGGTTCAGATGTGAAGCCATCAATTGATAGCTTTGTTAGTCTCGGGCGCAGGAAACTTCCGATCCACTTGACTGTTCTTTCATCTATCCTTCTCTTCCGCAGATTGTGCAATAGGCGTGCATGTGAAATGTTGTCAAACGCCCCTGATACATCCAGAAGCAGTAGACTTGCCACCTTGCCTTGCCCAGTGTTCCAGGCGTCATATATCTTGTCGATGATGAGGTGAAGGGCGTGTTCTGTTGATCGCAGCTTTCTTCCACCCATATGGGTATCGGGCAGCAAGCCATGAGTCTCGGCGATGTAGCTCAGCCTCTTTGCTATCACCGCTTCCATGATCTTTCCTGTAGTGTTTAATAGAGCGATTGGCCTGTAGGCCTTTGGCACGGTATAGTTGTCTTTCCCTGGCTTCCTGAGGACCACCGTTGTGGATTGTCGAAAGTGTTCCGGATAGTAGCCAAGGGCGAGGGACTGATTGAAGATCTTGGTGAGATGGTGCTTGATCCAGGGAGAGGCGATATGGAGTGCTTTGTTCGCGATGCCGTCTGGTCCTGGAGCCTTGAATGGGGATGATTCTTCAATAGCTTCTTCTATCTCTCTCGTAGTTATCGGTGGCATGGTTATGGGAGCAGGGTAGTTGGCATTCTCTATGTCTTCGAGATTGGTTTCAGGTGGCACTGGAAAGAAGGTCTTTCTGAGAAGCTCTGCTTTTTCGTTTGGGGTATTTGCTTGTTGCTTTGTGGCTGGATCAATCAGTGCTGGTGTTACATTCGGACTTTGGTTATGTCTGTTTCGGGCCCATTTTGCTACCCGCCAGAGGTTTGTTGGGGATTGAGAAGCTTCTTCTATCCTCTCGCGATGGTTCTGTCTGAGCGCTTTCTTGATGGTTCTACCTTTGTGATTTCTCGCCGTTCGGTATGCTTCCCATGTCTCTTCGGTATGGTATAAGCTGTGTTGCCGACGGAGTCGTTTTGATTGTGCCAGTACTTTGGCGCATTCTTCATTCCATCCTGATTTCGATCTAGACGATGGAATCGTCGTCGGTACTGCTTCCTCGACAGCTACCGTTAAGGCTATCATCACTTCCTCCACATGTCTATCCAGAGCTGTCTTCGTTCTTGGTCTTTGCTGTGGCGGAAGCTCCCGCTGCAGCACGCGAGTGAATGTCTTTTCATCTAAGGCTTTCCAATTTCGCCGGGGCTTGGCCATCATTTTGACGATATTCAGGTCTAGTGAGGTGACGATAGGTAGGTGGTCAGAGTCGTGGTCCATGTTTGTTTCGATTTCGCACTGAATCAGTCTGCCCACCAGGCCCGCCGTCGTGAGGCATAGGTCTATGGTCGTTCTTCCGTCACGCTCTTCATATGTGATAGTGCCTGGGACAAGATTGCTCGTGAGACAGTGATCTTCGATGATTGTGATGAGCTCGGCAGCATTAGGATCCGCTCGCTGGACCCGGTCACCTCCCCACAGCTCGTGGTGTAGATTGAAGTCGCCAATGATGATCTGTTCATGTTGGGATGATTGTTCCAGTGCTTTGCCGAGAAGGGGTAGCGTGCTCCCTCTTTCGGTTGCGGTTTGTGTCGGGTTGTAGACATTGTGTACCATAATCCGTTGCTCTTCTTCTGTTCCGAGTCTTAGGTTTAGTGAGCCGAGATCTCTGTTTGCCTCTTCAAAGTGCCACCTGGAGTGATCGAGTCTCTTGTTGATGAAAAAGCAGACCCTGGCTGGAAGGGTTTGGTCTTTGTCTGGGTAGCATAGGTGAAATTGATCCTTGGCTGGGTGGTGAGTTGTCGTGTCGAATGGGTTCTTCCAAGGCTCCTGGATAGCGAGGATGTCGTATCGTCCTATGTCGGGATCTCGTAAGAGCGTGGCCATGACTGTGTCTTTGGATTTTCTGACGTTGTACTGTAGTATTGTAAGAGTATTTTGTGTTAACATTCTTGGTCGTC